CCTGGAGGGAATGGAAGATCGTATGCCTCTCCCAGCTGTCCATTGAGGATGTCGAAGACGTGTGGATATTCGGCCTGATGATCACTGGATTTCTCCTGATTGGAGTGGGAGGATATCCGGTTTTCTGGAAATCTGGGAAGACGGGAGCGATTGGAGGGCGACCCGCACCCACGGAAAGCACCGTCCGTGTGGAGACTTCTCAGACTTGGACGTTACTCGAGGTGAATCGTAAGCTGGACAATGTTCTAGCTGCGTTACCGGTATTAGTGCGCAAAATGGATGTCATCTCGGAGAGAGTCACCGGACGGTATGGACAGGTTTAAAAACCAAAAATTGGCTTCACTGAAGGACTGGAATGATCAGTTTAAAGACTGAAGGCAGAGAGGAAAATTATCTCCGCTTGACCCAAACAAAGTCTTGTTATCCGAATCTGACGCCCTGGTAGCCTTCAGAAAATGCTGTGAAAACCCAAATTTAATCATTACTGGATGAGAGAAACGTCGCCTTTTAAGGTCCACTAAAACAATCAGATCAATATGCATTTAAACACTAAATATGTTGAGCCCAATGTTTCAATCCGAGCATGAACACATTTTTACGTCCAGATTAACTCAGATTGTTAGTTTTAATCGTAGTTTCTTGGTAAATGGTAGGGATGTCCCGATACAACTTGACGATACGACACCGATGTTGCAGCCTTCAGCACTGACCGATACCGATATCAGACCCAAATCAGTCCAAAACGATATCAGTACAAATCATACATACTTTTACCTACATGTTGTAGTGTGGACTGTATGAAAGGCTTGATCAAGCAATATTACTCAATCGGAGAACAAGAGCCAATAACAGTAAGACAATTGTTTAACCATTGGTGGTAGGGCTGCACAATATATCGAAAAATTATCGTCATCGCGATAACAGGACGTGCGATAGGCCCATCGCAAAGCACGTCAAAAACGGTGATAAATGTTAGGTTCAAACATTTCCATCCGTGTCATACATCAGCTTTTTGTAAACCAGCTCTGTTTTTTACGCGGAAGTATTATTTGACCAATCAAATGTAGCCCTTCTGATATGCGGCCAATCAGATGGGTCCGTTCACGAAATACGCCCGCCTCCTACGTAGACCCTTACCTAGGGCTGGGCGATATGACGATTTTAGACCGTTTTACGATCTACACATCTGACGGTCTGTCATTTTTGAGAGACCGTTTTATCACGATTCACAGCTCTGCTGTTGAATTTCTGCCTCTGAATGAAAAGGGAACTTACCCCAAGCGAATGACACACCTTTGTTTGACCCTTAACCAATCAGAGTGAGTCATAGTAATATATTAGTGCCCCCGCTTGTTTTCACCTGTGTGTGAACAAACATGGCTTCGGCCGCGGCTGAGCGACAACGAGGTTTTCGTTCCGAAGAGGAACGCCTCGTCCGTTATATGGAACTGGTTTGGTTTTTCACCAGATGACAAAGAGCAGCGAAACGTCATTTGCAAAGTTTGCAAGGAGAGCGTCAAGGCAAGTGATGGCAACATCACAAACTTGTTTAATGACTTGAAAAGACAGCATCCCAAACAATACAATGAGAGCCAGCTGGCAGCTAAAGCTAAAAAGCCTGTGGCTGCAGCTGCAGCGGCTAGTGCTTCTTCCAGGCAGCAAACGCTAACAGAAACACTCACAAAACTCCCTCCCTACGACAGAGACAGCAGACGATGGAACAGCGTGACAGATGCAGTGACGTACCACTTGGTTAAAGATTTGTGTCCCGTGCGAACAGTAGGAGCTGATAAAAACATTGGATCCGCGCTACGAGTTTTCCAGCCGCAAGTATTTTTCGAACACCGCCATTCCACGCATGTACGCTGAATGCAAAGTGAGAGTTGCAGAAAATATTCAGAATGTGCAGTTTTTTGCTACCACAAGCGATCTCTGGTCCAGCCGCACATCAGAGCCGTATTTGAGCTTAACTATCCACTACATGAGCAACTGGGAGCTACATAGTATTTTGAACAAGTTAATGTTTGCACAATACGTTTGCAATTGACATGTTTGCACTTTAAATATGTTTACGATTTTAATTTAGGTTAAGTTACTTGAAAAACGAGAAAAACTGACTTTTGTAATTGTTTCTCTCAGGGCTTTTATCATCTCTGGTGTGAGTTTAAAATATAAGTGTGTTAGCACTGTGCTGATTATCCCTAATATGAATAAATGTTTATTTATTCAATGTTTCTCTTCTTTAATACGCAATTGAAGTCATGCTATTCATGGATAAAAAATCGTGATAAAATCGAAATCGTGATAAAATATTGGAAAAATCGTGATATTCTATTTTTGCCATATCGCCCAGCCCTACCTTTACCCCAAAATTCCACTATCTCCGCTCCGCCCCCGCTTTCCGCTGCCGCTCGCTTCCCTTGTTCGTCATGCTGGCTCAGATTAACGAACGCACTTTGTGCTGAGGTTTCTGGAATCAGCGCTGCTTTCAAACGTGAACGTGAGTCCGCTCGGTGTCGTTAAGCAACTGATAATAACCGGGCTGACTCTGACACGTGCCGGTGAACCAACCCACCTTCATGTCGCTAGTGTTCCACCGGGTGGTGACGTTAGCCCCAGGCTCCGGTTAGCTTCCAGCTAAAAGGCTACAGCACTCTCCTCCCAGTCCCACCCTGCTAAAGAGGGCCTGGAAAAGTTCCCCCACACATCAAAGTGATTTTTCATTTATGAGCTTTTATAACCTTGTTTATCAGGATAGGTGATTTGCTGCTGCACATAAACTGTCAGTCAGAAGCTCTGCTAGCCGGTTATCTTAGAGGAGCTAGTTAAATTAGTTAGCTTGTTATCAGAATCATAGTTGCAGTTTCATCATCTGAGCTGATTTTTAAGATCTGGGTAAATTTGTTCAATTTGGGGTTAAAAACAAACGTTTTCACATATTTTCCATGTAGTTTTTTTGCCAGTTCCTCTTCTGAAAGGTAGACAATTGTTTTTCTCTTTCCCTCAGAAAATCTTAATGTTCTCCTAGTTTGGCCCAGCACAGTTCACTTCCCAGTTACAGCAACAGCCTTATATCATAACCACATAAGTGGAGAAAATGCTCAGTAGCAATGAGAGAATTTGCTGTTGCATTTAAGTGATGTTAACTATTATTTAACATTTAAACTTATTTTCTGATTTATTTTATTTATTCTAAAAACCCTGGTAAGGGATGTTTTTCTGTATTTGGAGCATCAGAAAAAGTTTTATAGTGGAGGTGATGTTTTAAAGTCACTGAGAAACTGCATGCTGCAGTTTGTTGTTTTGCTGCTAATACAGTAGCAGCTGCACCTGCTAATACAGTAGCAGCAAAACAACAAACTGCATGCATGCAGTTTGTTGTTTTGCTGCTAATACAGTAGCAGCTGCACCTGCTAATACAGTAGCAGGTGCAGCTGCTAATGCAGTAGCAGCTGCACCTGCTACTGTATTAGCAGCTGCAACCGCTACTGTATTAGCAGGTGCAGCTGCTAATACAGTAGCAGGTACAGCTGCTAATACAGTAGCGGGTGCACCTGCTAATACAGCAGCAGGTGCACCTGCTAATACAGCAGCAGGTGCAGCTGCTAATGCAGTAGCAGGTGCACCTGCTAATACAATAGCAGCTGCACCTGCTAATACAGCAGCAGGTGCAGCTGCTAATGCAGTAGCAGGTGCACCTGCTAATACAATAGCAGCTGCACCCGCTACTGTATTAGCAGGTGCACCTGCTAATACAGTAGCGGTTGCAGCTGCTAATACAGTAGCAGGTGCAGCTGCTAATACAGTAGCAGGTGCAGCTGCTAATACAGTAGCAGGTGTAGCTGCTAATACAGTAGCGGGTGCAGCTGCTAATACAGCAGCAGGTGCACCTGCTAATACAGTAGCAGGTGTAGCTGCTAATACAGTAGCAGGTGTAGCTGCTAATACAATAGCTGGTGCACCTGCTACTGTATTAGCAGGTGCACCTGCTAATGCAGTAGCAGGTGCACCTGCTAATACAGTAGCAGGTGTAGCTGCTAATACAGTAGCAGGTGTAGCTGCTAATACAGTAGCAGGTGTAGCTGCTAATACAATAGCTGGTGCACCTGCTGCTGTATTAGCAGGTGCACCTGCTAATGCAGTAGCAGGTGCAGCTGCTAATACAGTAGCAGGTGCAGCTGCTAATACAGTAGCAGGTGCGGCTGCATATTTTTGCAATAAAAATGTTATGTTGTAATGGAATTCATGCATTAGTTTTTGTTTGCTTTGAACCCAGAGCAGACGTCACACGCCAGACGACATCAACACTGCATACTTTAGTATTTGTTCATTTATCGTGAGTAATATCGATATCGCAATATTAAGCACTGTTATCGAATATCGCAGGTTTTCCTAATACCGTGCAGCCCTAATTGGTGGCAAAAATGTGAATCTTGAAGGCCTGCTTTCATCGGAGATTTTGATGCAGTCCAATATAATCTGATACAGTGTTTTTGGGCCGATATCGAATCACTTTTGGTATCGATGTCGCAACGGGACATACCTAGTAAATGGGGACTTGTGAGCTCCATTTATAAACTTGATTCACTCCAGCAATCATAACAGGAAGAAAGAAAGACCCAGATCCTGTTCTTGTTGCTGATTATGGACTAAAATTAATTTAAGGACAAAAAACCAAACATTCAAGAACCTTTTCAAGAGCGTTTCTGTAAAAACGTAGAGATTATTTTGAACTTTTCATTAAAATAGTTTGTGTTTAATGTATTATCCTGAAGATTATTGCCCAGAGTGGCCGAAAAGCAGAAGATATTAACCCCTGCTGCTCCATCGGTGAACAAAATACTCCAACTTAAAGGTTTGGGAGGCAATCAAGGTTTAGTTTAATTAGACGACACGGCGACTTAATTTAAATAATAATCACATGGATCTGGATTTGGATTACTAATGATGAAATACTAAAACAAAATATTAAAATAAACTCTGAAAAAAGACCAGCTTACCTCTTGCAGATAACTTTTTGGTGTTGATTATTTTGGCGGCGTACTCTTGTCCTGTCGACAGCTTGACACATCTGCGCACCACTGAAAATGCTCCCCTGTGAAACGGAAAAATAAACGATAGTTAGTTTTTTTAGGTGCTACAACTGAACAAATCAAGCTCAGAATAAACTCCATTAATGAACATAATCAAAGGGAAATGAGCAGATTCTGAAGATCTCTAGTTGGCTTTATAATCATCACCTGTATTTGCTGGAATACAAGGTTTATGCACAACTTTGTACATTTCTTTTCCAGGCAGGACTTAAACTGTGGAAATCTACTTTTAAGGACCAAGATGCCCAGATTTGTCTGTTTAACAAGCTCCCAGGACTCGAGGAATCTCAGACAGTGGCGGCTCCAGAAATGTTTTTCTGCAGGTGCTATGAAGGAGCTAGTCTTTTTATTGAGGGTGCTATGAAGGAAGTGGTCACGCGTACCTATTGTTCTCTAGAACACCTTCAACACTTAGCAGATACACATGCGTGCACAAAACCTCAACAACACCTGAAACAATCATTAATATACATCATAAACATATGAACAATCGCTGACTTTTCCATGAAATCATAAACACATACAGCCACACAGAAAACCATCTATAGTGTTGCAAGGTTAGCTAACGTTAGCGTTAGCATTTCCAGCGGCTAAACCCAGGACTGCCGCGGCGGTTGAGGGACGACCCTCTTCATCCAGATCCGTAGGTGTTTGTGGGTCTGAGATCACTTCCAAACATTCATTTGTTTCTGACTGAACCCGTGGAAATGTGGGCAACAAAAACCGATCCATCTTACCGCTAGCTTTCACTCGTTCACAGGTGGAAAATGAGGTCAAAGGTTAATATCAATTTCCTGTTTTGGTTTAAGCTTTTACTATCTATATAATTTAATGATTATTTTTGTTTTGTGTGTTAAATATTATCACATCCACACGTTCAATTAAAATTAAAGTGTAAAAAAAAATCTAATATTTACTTGGGGGTGCAATGACTAATCCAGGGGTAGCTATAGCGCCCCCTGGCGCCACCACTGATCTCAGACACAGTCAGCATATTTTAAATAATGTGCTCACATGTGGAACGGGAGACGTGAGGCTGAATAAATAAGGCTCTTATACAGATTCATAGGAAATGCATGAGCAGCAGAAATTCAGAGTATAAAGCCACAATGTAGGAAATATTCAAAATAAGGTAATAAAAGTGGAACCACAGACTGCTTGACATGGTTTATTTGAATGTGCTCGGTCCTGCTGCCAGTGAGTGGTGACAGCGAAGGGCTGAATTGTGACACCGGTCTTGCTTCCAGACCAACGAGGTCAAAGGTGAAAGCTGCGAGGGCAGAAGTGCGAAGGCTGGGGTCAAATCTCCGTGTGAAGACATAAAAATGGAGAGCACGAGGCTTTTCGCGCGGTGGTCAGATCTGATAAAAACAACAACGGCTGTATCAACCTGCTTCTCTTTTGCCTCCATGTGAGCTCCTTCAAAATAAGATCCAAAACAAGTAAACGTGTTAAAAATCAGCAGTAAAAGCAAGCTCTTAACTGACTGCTAGAAGATGAACTTCATGGATCTGAAATCTGATTAAACAACAGCATATTCCTATAGATCCTCAGGATCCACTGATTTCCCTCTTTCCTGTTCATCTTTTCCAAGATCTTGGAGATGAACGGAAGTGGCCCCCAGACTCTGGACCTCTCTCCCCCTGAGCCTGAGATCAGTGGACTCAGTGGTCTCCTTTAAAAAGCAGCTGAAGACTCACTTGTTCAAGATGGCTTTTGTATGACATTCTTCACCTCTCTCTCTTTATTCTGCTCTCCCCACCTATTCCACCTTCCTCAGGATCCACCGATTTCCCTTTCCTGTTCACTCTCTCTCTTTCTTTATATTTTTTGTCACAATTGTCTATTTTTGCTCATTTTAAAAATATTTTAACCATTTTCTAAATTCTTTTTTTTATATTTTTACATTTTTTGTTTTTGTGAAGCGCCTCGTGATTTTTATCTTGAGAGGCGCTATAGAAATGATATTTTCTTCTTCTTCTTCTTAATAAAAGAACAACATCTGGTGCCTATTTAGGTCTATGTTCTGGTTTCTGGTGAGTTTCCTGACCAGCTGCAAGCACCAGCATCTCAACGAGCATAGCAGGGAGGTCGTGTTGTAAATGAGTCTGATCCCTGAGTCTTCTGAGCACACACCCAGGCCAGCCCACCTAGAAACCAGGACTGGAGAATATAACACAACACACTCAGCTGGTGAGTTTGGAAAGCTGTTGCAGTTTGCACTTTTTGTGCACATTACTTGAACCGAATACTTATTACTGCCAAACTCATCCCCATACCAAAATACTAAAAGGCAAATCCAAATATAGCTTTGATGAAGTATTCCTTGAATGGAACTCGGCAAATTTTTGACATTTGAAGTTACTTTTTTTCATCCGATTTGAGAAATAGACAACCTGCCAACAACACTTGAAATTTCAATCCGATCGTGCCGAATCGGATCAGAATATTCCGATTGACATGTTTACATGCAGAATTTTCAATCTGAATGGGCATTCAATCCGATTAAATATGCGCATGTAAACGTGGCTACTGACATGAAAATATCGGAACTAAAAAAATGGTTTCCGACAATAAAAATGCAAATGTTCATTTGCACAACCAAATATCTGCACATATTTGGAAGTTAACCAGAAGGCAGCCAACAGCGGATTTGAGTGGATGTGAACAAAACGTTGATCCACCCCCGGACCTCCGCTTCTGTGTAGTTGTTTGACTACCTCATGAAATTCTGCCCCTGAGAATGGACAGTCCATCCCCAGGTCTCCCAGCTCTGGTTCCTCCTCGGAATGCGCGTAGGTGGGATTGAGGAGCTCCTCAGAGTATTCCTTCCACCCTCCGACTATAGCCCCAGTTGACGTCAACAGCTCCCCATCCCCACTGTAAACAGTGTGAGCGAGTTGCTGCCTTCCTTTCCTGAGGCGCCGGACAGTTTGCCAGAACCTCTTTGGAGCCGATCGATAGTCTTTCTCCATGGCCTCACCAAACTCCTCCTACACCCGAGATTTTGCCTCGGCAACTGCCACTGCTGCACCCCGCTTGGCTATCTGGTACCTGTCTGCTGCCTCCGGAGACCCACAGACCAGCCACGCCCTGTAGGCCTCCTTCTTCAGCCTGACGGCTCCCCGAACCTCTGGTGTCCACCAGCGGGTACGGGGGTTGCCACCACGACTGGCACCGGCCACCTTGCGACCACAGCTAGAAACAGCCGCCTCAACAATCGCAGAGTGGAACAAGACCCACTCGGAGTTAATGCTCTTGGGACGCGGTCAAAGCTCTGCCGGAGGTGGGAGTTGAAGACCGTCTTGACAGGTTCTTCTGCCAGGCGTTCCCAGCAGACCCTCACTATGTGTTTGGGTTTGCCAGGTCTACGCGGCATGTTCCCTTGCCATCTGATCCAACTCACCACCAGGTGGTGATCAGTTGACAGCTCCGCTCCTCTCTTCACTCGGGTGTCCAAAAACATACAGCCGCAGGTCAGATGATATGACTACAAAGTCTATCATTGACCTGCGACCTAGGCTGCCCCGGTACCAAGTGCACCGATGGGCATCCTTATGTTCGAACATGGTGTTCGTTATGGCCAAACTGCGGCTTGCACAGATGTCCAATAACAAAACACCGCTCGAGTTCAGATTAGGTGGGCCGTTCCTCCCAATCACACCCCTCCAGGTCATGCTGTCATTGCCCACGTGAGCATTGAAGTCCCCCAGCAGGACAATGGAGTCCCCTGATGGAGCACTATCTAGCACTCGTCCCAGGGACTCCAAAAAGGGTGGATACTCTGAACTGATATTTGGCCCATAAGCACAAACAACAGTCAGGACCCGTTCCCCGACCCGAAGGCGCAGGGAAGCTACCCTCTCGTCCCTCGTGGTAAACCTCAACACACAGGCAGAGAGTCTTGGGACTAACAAAAAGCCAACCCCAGCCCTCCGCCTCTCACCCGGAGCAACTCCAGCAAAGGAGTGTCCAACCCCTCTCAAGGACTTGGGTTCCAGAGCCAATGCTATGTGTCGAGGTGAGTCCGACTATATCTAGCCGGTACCGCTCAACCTCTGCCACAAGCTCCTGCTCCTTCCCCGCCAGCGAGGTGACGTTCCATGTCACAAAAACCAGTTTCCTTGTCCGGGGATTGGACCGCCAAGGCTCCCGCCTCGGTCTGCCACCCGATCCACACTGCACCGGACCCTTCATGTTCCTCCTGCGGGTGGTGGGTCCACAGTTGGATGAGCCCATGTATCCGGTTCAGGCTGGGCCCGGCCGGGCCCTATGGGTGAAAGCCCAGCCACCAGGCGCTCGCTCACGGGCCCCAACCCCAGGCCTGGCTCCAGGGTGGGACCCAGTAACCCTCCGGTCCGGGTACTCCAACCCTTTGTTTGTATATCCATGAAAGATCCTGTGAACCGTTCTTTGTCTCACCCTTCACCTAAGACCAATTTGTCATGGGAGACCCTACCAGGAGCACAAAATGCCCCAGACAACATAGCTCCTAGGATCATTAGGGCACTCAAACTCCTCCACCACGATAAGGTGACGGTTCAAGGACGAGCGTTCAGTTTTCATGTTTAGAAAGGAGTCGACAAAATGTTCCTTAAAGAAGAAATTTATTAAAAAGTTCTAAATAAAAAAGCAGAAATGCCGGCTGCAGGGTTGATCTGACCTTCTGAACTTAGCTGCAGCGTGTCTGTGTGTGCAAGCGTGCATGTATGCATTTGTGTGTGTGTGTGTGTGTGCGTGTGTGTGTGTGTGTGTGTGTGTGTGTGTGTGTGTGTGTGTGTGTGTGTGTGTGTGTGTGTGTGTGTGCGTGCGTGTGTGTGTGTGTGTGTGTGTGTGTGTGTGTGTGTGTGTGTGTGTGTGTGTGTGTGTGTGTGTGTGTGGTCCAGCTAAATCAGCTTGAGGCAAAATTTTAATCAAGAATATTTTTCCATCTTTATGTTTTTATTAAATTATCTTATTGAACCAGAGATTGGGGCGATAGAGCGTCTCACCTGTACACTCTGCCCTCTCTTATGACATTTTCTTTATGGCTTTTTCTATTTTTACTCCTTTTTTTTTAGGGTTTTTAGTTTTTCTTTTCTAAAATGTTTAACTTCCTTTCACAGTAAAATAATAGCAAAGGGCATTCTGCAGGTTATCTGGTCGGCTGTAGTCTAGTCAAACCTGTTAAATAAGGATGGTGCTTCATAAATTGATAAATGCAACTGAGGGAGCACAGCGTAAATAAATCAAATAGGAAAATGTTGTACTTTCAAAGCTGACCAGTCTCTTCTCAGACTCCTACTGTGCTGCAACTTTCATGAAACATCTGGCTTGCATAGAGTTTAAAACCAGCTTTTATTTTGCAAAAACCTGCAAAACTTTCTTTTTATTTACAATTCATTTGGTGCAGTTTATCTTGCATTGATCTATTCTTGCAAATGTGCAAATTAACTGCATCTTTAGGTGCAATTGTCAAACTAATGCAACAGCCTTCCATGAACTAGGATAACTGAGGTTGTCTTTTCCAAGTCATCAGTTCTGATGTGCATAATATATTTTATAAAATAATGCCACAAAAATCCTAATTTAGGGTCAGAATATCCCGTTATACAGGTGCTGGCCAGTAAATTAGAATATCATCAAAAGGTTGAAAATATTTCAGTAATTCCATTCAAAACGTGAAACTTGTACATTATATTCATGCAATGCACACAGACCAATGTATTTCCGATGTTTATTACGTTTAATTTTGATATTTATAGGTGACAACCAATGAAAACATCAAATCTGGTATCTCAGAAAATTAGAATATTCTAAAGGCCAATGAAAAAATGTTTGTTTCTCTAATGTTGGCCAACTGAAAAGAATGAACATGAAAAGAATGTGCATGTATAGCACTCAATACTTAGTCGGGGCTCCTTTTGCCTCAATAACTGCAGTAATGCGGCGTGGCATGGACTCGATCAGTCTGTGGCACTGCTCAGGTGTTATGAGAGCCCAGGTTGCTCTGATAGTCGTCTTCAGCTCCTCTGCATTGTTGGGTCTAGCGTATTGCATCCTCCGCTTCACAATACCCCATAGATTTTCTATGGGGTTAAGGTCAGGCGAGTTTGCTGGCCAATCAAGGACAGGGATACCATGGTCCTTGAACCAGGTGCTGGTGGTTTTGGCACTGTGTGCAGGTGCCAAGTCCTGTTGAAAGGTGAAGTCTGCATCCCCATAAAGTTGGTCAGCAGCAGGAAGCATGAAGTGCTCTAAAACTTCCTGGTAGACGGCTGCATTGACCCTGGACCTCAGGAAACAGAGTGGGCCAACACCGGCAGATGACATGGCACCCCACACCATCACTGACGGTGGAAACTTTACACTGGACCTCATGCAACGTGGATTCTGTGCTTCTCCGCTCTTCCTCCAGACTCTGGGTCCTTGATTTCCAAAGGAAATGCAGAACTTGCTTTCATCAGAAAACATAACTTTGGACCACTCAGCATCAGTCCAGTCCTTTTTGTCCTTGGCCCAGGCGAGACGCTTCTTGCGCTGTTTCATGTTCAAGAGTGGCTTGACACACGGAATGCGACACCTGAATCCCATGTCTTTCATGAGTCTCCTCGTGGTGGTTCTTGAAGCGCTGACTCCAGCTGCAGTCCACTCTTTGTGGATCTCCCCCACATTTTTGAATGGGTTTGTCGTCACAATTCTCTGCAGGGTGCGGTTATCCCTAGAGCTTGTACACTTTTTTCTACCACATTTTTTCCGTCCCTTCGCCTGTCTGTTAATGTGCTTGGACACAGAGCTCTGCGAACAGCCAGCTTCTTTAGCAATCACCTTTTGTGTCTTGCCCTCCTTGTGCAAGGTGTCAATGATTGTCTTTTGGACAGCTGTTAAGTCAGAAGTCTTCCCCATGATTGTGGTGCCTTCAAAACAAGACTGAGGGACCTTTTAAAGGCCTTTGCAGGTGTTTTGAGTAAATCAGCTGATTAGAGTGGCAGCAGGTGTCTTCTATATTCAGCCTTTTCAGAATATTCTAATTTTTTGAGATACCAAATTTGGAGTTTTCATTAGTTGTCACTTATGAATATCAAATTTAAATGTAATGAACATTGGAAATACATTGGTCTGTGTGCATTGCATGAATATAATGTACAAGTTTCACGTTTTGAATGGAATTACTGAAATATTTTCAACCTTTTGATGATATTCTAATTTACTGGCCAGCACCTGTATGTCTGTTTGGGTTAACTTTACTTATTATATCTATTAATACAGGCTTTTTAGATGGTATCTGATTCCTGTATGATAACTACGATGTGTGTGTAATTGATACAACTGTGCTTTCTATAAAAATAAACATGCATCACATCCATTAAAGCTGAATTATTGCCAGACTTTTAAATGACTCAAATGTGAGTAAATGATCAAAACAAGCTGAAAAATATCATAATGATGTAAAAATAATCGTGTTTCCTCCAGGCCAGAACACATGACACAGCTGTAGGAGATGAGATGCTGTGTTTTATCCAAGATAAGTCGTTTTATGTCAGACTGAGCAGCGTTTCAGCAGAGATCCCGAAAATGCGCGCGCGCATTCTCTCTCTCACACACACACACACTCACACACACACACACACACACACACACACACACACACACAGCGCTATCAGCGCGCGCAGAGGGCTGAGCGCTGCTGGCCTGCGGAGCCGCTCCTCCGCCAAAGCTCCGCTCATCCTGGAAACCAGTCCTCCTCCCAGTCACACCACCACAGACACCGAACAACAGATAACTCACTTCCCCAGCTCCTCGTATAGCTGATACTCGTCCGTGAATCGCGTACAGGTTGTCGTGGCCATGTCGCTGCCCTGTCTCTCGCTTCTGCTCATTCAATCAACTCAAAGAATTAGCGTTTAGTTTGGGGCTCAAACAGCAAAATATGAGGTCCGCCCAGCAGCTAGCCGGCCGTCGGAGCGGTGAAAAGCCCGAGAAGAGGCGCCGAGCGACGGAAGGGTTCGGTATGGAAAGACGAAGCAGCCCGTGTGGGTGTTCTCTCTGTCTCCGCTATCTGACAGCTACCGCGCGAACAACCGTACAGCTAGCAAGCTAGCTAAGATAGCTAAAGCCATATCCTGTCGTGATTTTCAAAATAAAACGTTAACATCAAACAGGATTATCAAAGTCTTGAATTTGTTCCTATATTACCAACAAAATTAGTAAATTTGATTCATTTTATTGTTATTTATTATTAGTTTATTATTATTATTATTAGTAGTAGTAGTAGTTTTTATAATTTCTCTTAATTAGCCAATTTAAACTCAATCTGGAAGAAAAATACATCAAAGTATTTTAGTACCAGATCTCTCTTGACCATCTAACATTAATAATGTTCATTACAAAAGCTGAAAATACAAAATAATAATTTAAAAAGTGAAAACCAGAGTTTGGGATAATCTTGCAAATGCCTTGAGTTAGGATTTGTTTTAAAAAAAATACAACTAATTACTAAAAACGTGACATATTAAGTTGACATTTATTTTAAAAAGTGTGAAACAAATGATAATAATAATAATAATAATAATAATAATAATACATCAAACTTATATAGTGCTTTTTAGGTCACTCAAAGACGCTTCACAAAAGGCAATAAACACATAATGAAACAAAATGTAAAATAATGAACAAAACTGGGGGCATGCTGGGTTAAATGGCCTGTATTTGATATAGCGCCTTCTAGAGTCCTGGAACTCCCCAAGGCGCTTTACAACACAATCAGTCATTCACCCATTCACACACACACATTCACACACTGGTTGGGATGAGTTACGATGTAGCCACAGCTGCCCTGGGGCGCACTGACAGAGGCGAGGCTGCCGAGCACTGGCGCCACCAGTACCTCCGACCACCACCAGCAGGCAACGTGGGTTAAGTGTCTTGCCCAAGGACACAACAACAGCAACAGACTGAGCGGGGCTCGAACCTGCAACCTTCCGATGACGGGGCGAGCACTTAACTCCTGTGCCACCGTCGCCCACGGGTTAGTATTAGGGGCAGGCCAATTTGAAGAAATGGGTTTTAAGCAAGCATCGAAATAGGCCAAAAAGAAAAACACTGAAATACCAAAAGTAATGTAGGCTACATTTATTTATTTGTGTGTATTTTTTTACTTTATCTATATATACTTAAGTGACTGATGCTTACAACCATAAAAACAATTTACTAAAACTAATTTATTTTCATTTAACGTAATAAGAATACATTATTATTATACACGCCATGACAAAGCCATAAAAATGTTTGCATTCAAACAAAGTGAAGTTTTAAAACAATTTCTAATATCCTTCAAGGTTCAAGGTTGTCTTTATTATCATGATTTGGATTACCTGGCTCTCTGTCCAGGGTGTACCCCGCCTGATTGCTCGTTGGCTGCTGGAGATAGGCACCAGCCCCCCCCCCCCCCCCCCCCCACTCCCCCCCCACCCCCCACCCCCACACACACACACCCCACCCGCGACCCTGTGTGGACAAAGCGGGCTCAGAAAATGGATGGGTGAATTTGGATTTGGATTACTTTTATTTTGAAGGCTACAACCGCACATTTTCCGGTCTCGTGCTGGTTATTTTATTTCACTTGATGCTGCAGCTGCTGCGTTGAACAGTGGGTTAGATGTTGCTCTCTGTCGCCCTCTGGTGGTCAAAGTGCGTAAGAGCAACGTGCGGAACCAAACACACCTCTCTCCTGTGTTTCCAAATAGGGGCAAATATGAAGAAGCTGATTGGAGACTTTAAAACGTGCCACGAAAACGTCATTTTAAAAATACTCTTTATAATGTTTACTGAGACGCATACAGATAATTAAAAAAGTTCGTAAAACATTAAAACTGAATATTTGAAATCAAGGACAAAGTTACTCATTTCATCTGATGTGCTGCTCCATAAATGATAAAAAAAAATTACTTCACAGATTTTGTTGCAGCACATTAAATAAAAAAGCTGGATTATTTTTCTATTTGAATTCATAATGTGACATTTGCAAACCAGGCAGCATTTAGAAGTGGAGTTAACCTTAAGAAAAGCATGCAATCATTTTCCCCACGTTCAAGGGTTTTAGGATGAACACTAATAACTTTTAAACATTTACTAATACTGAGTCAGGTTGCACGAATTGTAATTACTGGTGAAATTTAGATATTCGATTTGTTTACAGAGATGAAAACAAACAAAAGCTCCTGAAACATCATCATTTCAGTCACTTAAACGTCTGGAATTACAACGTTTTTATTCTAGTAAGTTGCATAGTTCACCTGGGCTGTTAGAGTAAGAAATACTAATAATACTGTGACAAAATGAAGGGAAAATGAAAATAATTTGTACGTACAGCTCTATAATCTATAATTCCACCTCCATCTTTCTCTATGTCATTACAGGAGTAAAATAATTCATAGCTGCCGTGAGAGCTTTTACTCCTGCATGAACAAAGCTCTCAGTCCTGGAGTTTTTCTTTACATCATCATTTTATTTTACTTAAAACTAACCCGTTTTGTTTTCTGCTCAAATAGTTACTGTTAGCAAATTGGACAATTAAAGAAGAAGAAGAAGAAAATATCATTTCTATAGCGTCTCTCAAGATAAAAATCACGAGGCGCTTCAAAAAACAAAAAATGTAAAAATATAAAAAAGAATTTAGAAAATGGTTAAAAATATATTTAAAATTAGCAAAAAATAGACAAATATGATTAAAAAATGTTAAGAAAGAGAGAGCGTGAATAGTAAAGAGGGAGTGGATCCTGAGGAAGGTGGAATAGGTGGGGAGAGCAGAATAAAGAGAGAGTGGTGAAGAAGGTCATACAAAAGCCAGCTTGAACAAGTGAGTCTTCAGCTGCTTTTTAAAGGAGACCACTGAGTCCACTGATCTCAGGCTCAGGGGGAGAGAGGTCCAGAGTCTGGGGGCCACAGCAGCAGATGATCTGTCACCTTTGGTCTTTAGCCTGGTGCTGCACAACCAGTAGGCTTTGATCACTGGACCTCAGGGACCTGCTGGGGGTGTAGGGACTAAGAAGATCACCAATGTAAGATGGTGCTTGTCCATGTAAGGCCCTATAGACCAGAACCAGGATCTTGAACCCTGAAGTTGACTGGCAGCCAGTGAAGCTGGAGGAGAAGCGGGGTGATGTGGGTGTGTTTGGAGGACTTGGTCAGAAGCCGAGCACAGGTGTTCTGAACCACCTGTAGACGGTTCAGGGAGGTTCTGCTCAGACACGTGAAAAGAGAGTTACAGTAGTCTAAGCGTGAGGAGATGAAGGTGTGGAGAACTGTCTCAAGTTCAGAGCGGGACAGAATGGGACTCAGCTTAGCAACGTTCCTGAGATGGAAGAAGGAGGAGTGAATAAGAGAACTGACATGAGAATCCAGGGTGAGAGCTGGGTCAAAGGTCACGCCAAGATTCCTGACAGAAGGTTTGGTGTGAGAAGCAAGCTGACCAAGAGAGTCTCTGACTTTGGGAACCAGCTTGTCTGGGGCACAGATGAGGATCTCAGTCTTATCTTCATTCAGCTGAAGAACGCTCCCACCATCCAGGTTCTGATAGAGTCTAAGCAGGTGTGGAACAGCTGCAGCTTAGACATCTCATGGGGCTTAAAGGAGATGTACAGTTGGATGTCATCTGCATAAAGATGGTAGGAGATTCCTTTGAAGGAGCTCAGGATGTGCTGAAGAGAAAGCAGATAGAGGAGGAAGAGCAGAGGCCCCAGCACAGAACCTTGTGGGACACCATGGGTAAGAGAGGTGGTGGAGGACCTAAACTTGGAGACGGCCACAGAAAAGGAGCACTCAGAGAGATAAGAGGAGAACCACTCCAGAGCAGATCCTGATAGGCCTACCCATTCTCTCAGCCTCTCCAGTAGCAGGTGATGGTCAACAGTGTCAAAGGCTGCAGTCAGGTCCAGCAGGACCAGAACAGAACAGTCCCCTGCATCACTGTGAGTCAGAAGGTCATTAGAGACCCTAAGAAGAGCTGTTTCAGTAGAATGAGCTCTACGGAAACCTGACTGTAAGCTATCATAGATGTTATGTTCATCAGGAGCAGCTGTGAGTTGTTTAGCCACAACCTTTTCCAAGATCTTGGAGATGAACGGAAGTTTAGAGATGGGTCTGAAGCTGCTATGGAGAGAGGGTTCGAGACTCGGTTTTCTAAGAAGCGGGTGGATTACAGCGTTCTTAAAGTAAGCAGGGACCTGACCAGAGACCAGAGAAGCATTAATTATAGAGAGCACGCTGGGACCGATGGACTGAAAAGCACTTTAAACAAAGATGAGGGTAAGATGTGGAGGGGGCATGCAGAGGTCTTCATAGAGTTAACTAGTTTGGTTAACTCAGGCAAAGAAACAGGAGCAAAGCTATCTAGGATGATGGGCCTGGTTGGAGTCGGGAGAGGCAGCGATAAGACTGAAGGAGAGATGCTAGATCTAACCTTATTGACTTTGTCCACAAAGAAAGACAGAAAGTTCTCACAGTCTGCAACAGAGTGGATGGAGGCTGTAGGAGAGGCAGGAGAGACGATGCTGCTGATGGTGTTAAACAGCACCTTGGGGTTCCCTTTGCTCTGGGACACCAGGTTGGAGAAATAGGAAACCCTAGCGTCTCTGACTGCAGAGTTAAAGGATGTCAGAAGGTCCTTTAGGTGCAGCAGATGGACGTGGAGATGGGTTTTCTTCCACAAACGCTCAATTTTCCTGCATTGACGCTTCAGGCTGCGAAGGCTGTCATTAAACCAGGGAGTAGGGTTCACTGCAGGAACTGATCTGGTTCTGACAGGACAGATGTTGTCCAGAATGGAGAGGCAGTGCTCGTTAAACTGAGAAGTTAAGGAATCTGGGTCGTTATCAGAAGAACAGGGTGGACCAAAAGCAGCAGAAACATTGCTAGCTGTGCTCTCATTAAGAAAACGAGAACTAACCATACGGCGAGCAGGAGGTGGGGACGCAGAAACTGACAAGTTAAAGAAAATGCAATGGTGATCTGAAATATAAACGTCCTCAGGACAAACACTGTCAGCATTTAGACTCAGGGTAAAAACAAGGTCTAGAGTGTGTCCCCTGGTGTGTGGGGCCAGAAACATGCTGGGTAAAGCTGACGGAGTCCATAAGGCTGGAGAAATTCATGGCAAAGAGATCAGAGGGATCATCAACGTGGATGTTAAAGTCACCAACAATCACCAGTCTGGACAGCTTCACAGTGGAGGATAGAAAGTCACTAAACTCCTGAAGGAAAGAACTGTTTGGACCAGGTGGACGATAGACCACAGCACAGTAGAACGGGTCCTTACGCCCGACTTTAATCAGCTGCAGTTCAAAGGAAGCGAAGTGACCAGAGGTTGTAGAGCTACATGGAAGATGGTCTCTGAAAACAACAGCTAGGCCTCCACCACGACCAGAACCCGGGGCTGGCTAAGAAAAGAATAACCACTCGGGCAGAGTTCAATCAGAGCAGAATAATCAGATGTTTGCTGCCAAACTTCAGTCAGAACCTGATGGAGCCCCCCACTGTCCCGCTGCTGCAGCCACTAGGCTCAGTGCCTCCATCACAATCACAGCTAATTAGTGTTAAAAGCCACTTAAACTGATTACACTGGTGGCCTTTGAGCTGCTGAGTCACATGATCATCTGCTGCTGCGGGATGAAACTTAAACTAAACTCATGTTGGAGAGAAGAAAACTTCAGTCGAGGCTTGATTAAATTCTGTTTATTAGTAACACACACACACACTCACACACACACACTCGATCTGAGACAGAGCTCAGGCGATCATCGTGGTAAAAGAATAAATCAGTAGCAGATAAAATAAATAAAAACACACAAGAAATAAAGTTCCATGTTATAATAAACTCTTACTATAATAATAATAATTATTATTATTATTATTGATATTATTATTATTATTTTACATTCCTTCTTTCTGTTTTCTCTTTGATATTTTTTGAATAAACTGTTACAGTAGATCAAATGAACCACCTGTGTGTGTGTGTGTGTGTGTGTGTGTGTGTGTGTGTGTGTGTGTGTGTGTGTGTGTGTGTGTGTGTGTGTGTGTGTGTGTGTGTGTGTGTGTGTGTGTGTGTGTGCATCACTGCAGCAGCCGGACAGAGTTGATGTGGAGGTGATACAGGAAGTCTGCGTAGCTCGCTCCTCCGTTGGGACTCTTGTCTTCCACCAGGTGGCGCTGCAGGGCCTCCTCACAGGTGTCTCCCTGCTTCACCACCAGCAACTGGGACAGAGAGTTATCGTTTAGCCAAAAGAGACAGATCCCAGCTCAGCTATAACCTGAATAAACAGTTTAAATAAATGACCAGCTGGATTGTTTGCGTATTAAAACCTACTTTGTTACCGCGGAAACCCAGGAGTGCATGCCGGTGGCGTCTGAACACAAATCTTATCTGATCTTATGCAAACTGTGTGAACAGTTGCTCCAAAAGATCTGATTGGACGAACACATCTGATTTGGCTGCAGCGTAAACGAACCCTGGGAGGATGGGGGCGGGGTTTCATCCCACTCACCTTTCGAGCAAAGGGCACCTGGGAGGTCAACGTGCTGAGGAGGGATCGAACCCCGACGGAGAGAGAGTTTTCTAGAGCCGGCAGCTTCACCTGAACAGGTAACGACAAAACTTCTCAGAGTGAGCTTGTGGCTGACAGCTGATCAGAGACGGTCGTCGTGGACACCCACCTCTCCAGATGGCAGAGAGGAAAAGCAGCTGGTGTTGAAGAGCTCACCCAGAGTGCATGCTGGGACTTGGCTGCCCACCCACAGCAGCAGGGTGAGAGGTGCATGAATCAGATACAGTCCGCTGGGCTCCAGGCTGGCAGCAGAGCAGCGCAGGGCCCCCTCTGGCTTCTGAGGGTTGGAGCGCTCCACAGGAAGTGTCTGCAGATGACAGAGAGAGGAAAACGCCTCCATGAGCAGCCACAGCTTTTGTCCTGCATCTGCACAGAGCAGAGCTTTAGCTCGGGTCAGACTCGGATCAAAACCGACTCAGCTGCGTGGACGCCACTGACCAGAGGCAGCAGCAGCGGGTAGAAGTGTCTGACGGTGCTGCAGGTGTCGAGGCTGAGCACCTGGCAGCGCTGCTGCAGCCTCTGGTGGACGGAGCTCCTCAGGCCCGGCAGCAGCACCTCGCTCTTCCTCAGGCTGTTGATGTAAACAGGAAGAGCTCGCAGGAACTGGGGGAGAACCAACTGGAGGACAAACACAACACCATAAGGCTGAAGTTACACAAAAAGACACATAAAGGAGACTTTTGGACGAGTGCATTCACCAGATTCTCCACAGTTTCTTTACAAAAGATTATTTCGTGAAAACAAACTTGTGAGGGAGTTCTCGTGCACACGTGTGTATCTATCTCACCTGCCCAGCAGACGCTGAAGACGAGCAGCCATGTTTACGGTAGCACGCCAAAGCTTCTGTTACTTCTGTCTGCAGCTCCTCCCTCAGCTCCTGCAGGGGGCGCTCTGAGGCTGAACAGTACACTGAAAGGACACGAGATGGAAATGCAACATTTAAAATCATTTACCACACATTAAAGTTCAAACGAATGTTCGTTTTTTACTCTTTTTGCAGTAGAAGGCGAGCAGAGTTTGGGCCTGGTAGTTCCTGAACGTGTCCTGTAGGCGGCGCGAGCTTCTCAGGGTCAGAGTGTGAACCCTGCTCCGCTTTTCTCCCGTCTGGGAGCTGTAGGATAAAACGGCCTGATGCAGGGGAGAGGAAAGGTAATCCGATTAATCTGAGGAGGGCATGAGAAGTTCTCAAACTTCAAGTTGAGTTTGCTGATTTCTGAGTCCACCTGTATGGCTGCACCTCTCGTCTCATCCAGAGCTCTGGTGTGTGTGAGCTCTACAGCCAGCGTCGTCCTCCTCTCCAGGGTCGCCATGGTAACATGTGCAGGACTAGGGCCGGGTACGAACAGCCCGTAGCAACCAGACACACGTAAATCTGGTTAAAGCAGACACAAACGGGCGGATCAGACGCTTGTCTTTGAGGAAAACGTCGGGCTGAAATCGTCTCTCACCTTTGCTGACAAATATTCTGAGCTCAGCCTTGTAGCCGGTGTCCGTCGCCACAACCTGCTTCAGATCGGCGCCGAAACGCTCTCTGTCCAAATCGCCCTGCGGCGGAAAGAAAACTAAATCAGATTACGATCCAGCTTCATCTGCAGGTGGAGCGTGCTCACGGATCGTTTTCGCCGACCTGGAGGTAGCTGTAGGTGTACAGGGCACCGCCTGTAAGATATGGAATGTGTCCCGGCCACGCCCCACCCACATCTTGCTGGGAGAGGATAAACAGGTGAACGCCGCATCCCTGACTGACGCAGTCCTTAGCCAATGAGACGGCTTCCTCGGATGGCTGAAAGATGGACTAAAACGCAGAAGCGGAGGAAACGATGAAACGTAGATGTAAATAAAGCAGAGCCGCTCACGGCTGTAAAAACCGAATCAGGGTAAAGGTGAGCAGCTAAGGCTCGTGTCTGAGTGGAGCTACCTTTGGTCTGCTGGTGCCAAAGAACCCTGAGGAGGAGTTTGTGTTTCCTGTTTCTATCAGAGCAGCAGAATGGAAGATCAGCAGCTTCCCGGGACACTTCAGGCCCTACGTCCGAAAGACAAGCACGACATCAGGATCTCCGTTTCTTTAACTGCACGGCTTTAGCCTGCAGAAGGTGATGCCTCACCTGCAGCACAGCTAGTCCGGCTCTAACGGGAAGCTCTAGGGGAACGTCATCGGAGTCATCGCCGTCTGCGCCGAACTCAGGAAGGAACTGCAGAACACTGAAGACACACAAAAACAGGGATGATCAGGTCAAAGGTCATGACAGGAAAGCTGGGAAAAGTCTGATCCCGTTACCAGTCCAAACTCTCTGCACAGTCTCTGAGGGACACCAGAAGCCCCTCCCTCACAGGAAGCTGCAGGTCCTCCGTTTCTGTGACGACCATCATGTGAGGGCGGGACAGGTCGGGGCTGAGGTCGTACAGGTGGACCCTGCTGTCGTACGTCATCAATCCGACACGCACGTCCGCGTCCCTAGAGACAGAACTAACCCTCAAAGACATCCCGGAATTCTCAGAGCCGGAACAGGAAGTAGCAGAAGGGGACTCACTGCTTCAGAGAGGAGAGTAACGTGTGTATTTGTTGTGTTACGAACTCCACGTGTCCTCCTCTGAGCGCTGCGGGGGACACGTCTACGGCGAGGAGCAATGCAGCGGGCGCATGCTGGAAACACACACACACACACACACACAGTTGTTTCACAGAGACCGTATATCAACGCAGCAAAGCTGCAGACGGGCGCCGACCTTCTCAGAGTGGAGGATTTCATACGAGCCCAAACTGAGTTCAGGTCTCCTGTCTTTGTCCACGCGGGTCCCCCCGACCCCGCCGGTGGGCTGGAAGAGGCGCCGCGGCACTGGGACACAAGAGAGGAGAGAGAGACTGACACGGGAGCGGGAGAGCATCATGTGGGTCCAAATCTAAAACATGATGATTTAGTTACTCAGCAGCTTTTAATCTGGAATAATCCAGAGTCTCACCTTGGCTCACTTTCCCACAGAAGGGACAGTGAAACCTTTGTCCACAGTCCTGCCAGCTCATGGCCGGACACATGGAAGCGCCGCACCAACAGCAGCCCACGACAACGTCCGCAGCTTCGCATGAAGGGATGAGATTCTGGACCCGAAACACACACAATAACAGAAGTTCCTCTGTCGAGAGATTACCTGTTAGAAATGGCTGATGGCCCCGTGTCGTACGCCAACCTGACCTCATCAGGATTGTGTCGAGCCAGCGGGGTAACCAGTGCTCCCAGTGGCAGGCGGCTGAGCAGCATGGTCTGACCCTCACAAGGCACGCAGTAGGTGGTGCAGCGGATAGCTAACGGACTTGCGTTACCTACAGAACACACACACACACACGCGCACACACACACATGGGTTTAATCAAGACGTGTAAAGGTCTCCGACAGGAGGAGGATGAGTCCAAATCTATTACAAAATTACATTTTCTGTCTTTTTGTGTTTGTCTATCGGCTCTTTAGCACACTTTTACTTCAAAGGCCAAGAGCTGCACGGTAGCGCCGTTGTCCCGCCGGGACAAGGACGCAGGTTTGAATCCCGACTGCAGAATTTCTGCATGCAGTCAGCATGTTCTCCCCATGCAGGTGTGTTCTCGGGGTTCTCAACCAAAAACACGTATGAGAACCTAAACCGTCCCTAGCTGAGAGTAGGTGTGTCCCTGTGGTGGACGGACAAGGCAAACGGCGGCTCCCCGTGACCCTGACGGGAGATAACGGTCCAGAAAACGAGTGAGTGAGATAAAAGGTGTATTAACACGGGCTGCATTCCATTCCTGCAGCTGTGCATGCTGCTCCTTCTGCCGACGAGCTGAACTTCTGAATGGAACGCGGCCCTCGTTAATACAGCCGTGCGTTTCTCGCTCTTTCAGGTCTAATCTCAGGTGAGTGTGCACACCTTTATCCTCCACGAGACACGGAGTTGTGGCCAAAGGAGGGAGACGGGAGAAATGCTCTGAGACGAAGACTTTACCCCCCCACTCTGCCTCGTCCTCTTCCATCACCTTCACCTTCACAGACAGCAGATAACCAGTGAGATCATGTTAACGCTTGGCTGGATTTGAATAGAGATAGGATGGATTTTGATGTTCATCTGGTTCAGGAACACTCACAGCGCTGGGTAACAGTTTGGGGTCCAGACCGTAACGGGACTCTGAGCTGGGAGACTGGAGAGAAGAAACACTCAAACTATCATCTAGTTAGGGATTCATTTAACTCTGTCACAAAGTAAAAAGGCCGGAAGTCTAAAAGATCATTTGTGAGTCTAAAATTATTATTTTTTTCCTTTCAAACTGTCAAGAGTCTCATTAAAGAGCAAGTCACCCCCAAATCAACATATTTTTTTCTGATAAACTGTATAAATGTGTGTCTAATCGTGCTGCAGACACGTGTCGTCAATAGTTTTGCACTTTCGTGCATTTTAGTTCATGTTGTGCCATTGTCAGGTAAAAACTCTGCACTGCATTTGAATTTAAATCTGCCATCGCTATTGGCTAAGAGGTACCCTAGAATGTTAGCTGGTACCATATGATATCACAATGTCGTTGTGAGCCTGTGTTTGTGTGTGTGTGTGTGTGTGTATTTGTTAGCGGCTCCGCCCTCTCGGTCTGCTAGGCAACAGGATTTGTTGCATCTTTCAAACAGGAAGTGGGACTCTAGTAGGGGGTGACTTGCTCTTTAAGTAATTGAACAGGACTTTTTTCATAAATCTTTTTAGGGGAGCTCAAACGGCCTGTGTCATATTTTATACCTTCCAGAGCAACTTTAAGCACAATATATGATAAAATATTGCATTTGGTACTATTGAGACCTCTTTTTGTATGAAGCATCAGTTATTTTTGTGAATCGTTCCTTCATCCTGGAAATAAGAGGCTTGGATTTGATGAAGCCCCGCCTCCCCAGTGTGATTTCCACAATAGTTCACAGCTGCAGACCCAGCGGCTGCAGATTCATGTTTGCTGCTGATTTCAATCATAAAAGCTATGTTTGTTTGTTTGTTTTGGTGTATCTGTGAAATGAAACGTAAAGGAATTTCTCCAGATGAGTTTTTTGATGAATTATTTAATTTTACAGGCTAAAAAAGTTATTTTATTTCCAGCATTTTTCCCATCAGTGATCATTTGCAGCACAAACCCTTCAGAAGCAGCACTTTACTTTGTGAAACTGTAATTTTTCCACATGCAGGTTTTAAAGCCGTAAATGTAAAAACTAAAAAATAAGCTCCAGTCTCAAAAAAGTCATTTTATATACAAACAAGCTTTTTTAACAAGTGATTGTATTTACGTATTTCTCTGTATTTTCTGCTTTTCAGATCACCAGAAGTTGGAGCGAGAGGCTCGGATTTGTCGCCTTTTGCTTTCTTTAAAGAGCAAGTCACCCCCTACCAGATTCTTACTCAACTCCCACTTCCTGTTTGAAAAATGCAACAAATGCTGTTGCCTAGCAGACCGAGAGGGCGGAGCCGCTAACAAATACACACACACACACACACACAGGCTCACAACGACATTGTGACATCATATGGTACCAGCTAACGTTCTAGGGTACCTCTTAGCCAATAGCGATGGCAGATTTAAATCCAAATGCAGTGCAGAGTTTTTACCTGACAACGGCACAACACTGACAGTTTTAGGCAGAAAATTTAAATTTTAACTAAAAGGCACTAAAGCGCAAAACTATTGACTACATGACACAATGACACATGACGATTAGACACTTATTTATGTAGTTTATCAGAAAAAAAGTTGATTTGGTGGTGACTTGCTCTTTAAAAATGTCTAAACACCTAAATGAATGCTCTAATTCTGCCTAAGCTGATTTTATGTAACAAAAACAATTAATTAATTTGGTTTTTAAAAGAAAATTTACTCAATTTAAAGTTCAATCTTTAACATCTAATAAGATTAACAGTTTCTTCTATTATTCTATTATTTTTCCCAACCTGTGGTGTCATAATTCTTTCCTGTGATGCTGAAGTGTTTATGGTTCCTGCAGAGAAGGAAAATCAGAATGAGATCGTACATTTTTGATTAAATGATTAATTTACCCAGGAAGCAGACACTGATTTCCATATAAGGATTTAACGAACCCACCTCTAGAGTGAGCTGAAGACATCCACTGAGGCTGCGGCTGGTTGGGAGACGTGGGGGGGCGTCTATGACCATATCCAACAGAACCCACATTTGCACCATCAAATTCAGGCTGGGGGACACTTTGTGGACTCGGGTGTACGTGTTGTCCAGGAAGATGGCTGGACTGTGGTGCATTCAGCGTACCCTGTGGAAACTGGAGTGGAGAGGATCCTATCCGGCGGGGGCTACAGGGGGAGTACAGTGTCATCTGCTGGGGGTTGAGAGGCTGAAACTGTTCATTCATAAGTGGAGGAGAAGATAAACTCTGTCCTCGGTTTGCAGCTGAAACTGCATCAGAAAAACATTGCTGCACGTTCTGATCAGCATCACTGATGTGCTGCAAGCTGTGGTGAGCGTTCCTTCCGACCGAGTCGTCCTGTGGGTCATTTCCAGATGCCTGCAGCTGGTTGTAGATGTGGATCTGATCAGGGACTGAATCCAAGGTGAGTTGATGAAAGATGGGCAGAGGATTACAGAACGGTTCTGGAGGCTCAGCTGTAGACCAGCCAGTCTGGGTTACCCACTGATGGAGGGAAGACTGACCCTGGTTAGAGAAAGGGGCGTCCATCCTCTCCCATACAAACTAAAGAAACGTGTTTCTCACTGATGGCAGGACCTAAAGAGATCAACATCAACAGTCAGCCAAGCATCTGTAAAGAGTTAAAAGACATCAAACAGATCTGCTCGTAGAATTGGAGTGGTTTATTTGATTTGCAGTTAAAAATATATCAAATTGATGTTTGTATGATTTCATTAAATTTCCAACATCAAAATAAACTTATATTTAAAGAGCAAGTCACCCCCTACCAGAGTATTACTCCACTCCCACTTCCTGTTTGAAAAATACAACAAATATTGTTGCCTAGCAGACCGAGAGGGCGGAGCCGCTAACAAAAAGCACACAGGCTCACAACGACATTGTGACATCATATGGTACCAGCTAACTTTCTAGGGTACCTCTTAGCCAATAGCGATGGCAGATTTAAATTCAAATGCAGTGCAGAGTTTTTATCTGACAACGGCACAACACTGACAGTTTTAGGCAGAAAATTCTAATTTAAACTAAAATGATTCATTAACAAAACATTTACTGTAAAAAAGTATAATATTGTAATGTGGGGTAGGTGCTCATAGCTTCTTTGCTTCAGCCTACTCCATTTGAGCATTGTTGTTGTAATGTTGTGAACTTTGAAAGAATACAACAAACGTAACTGCTCACTGAATGTGCTAAATAAAATAAAATGCACGAAAGTGCTAAAATATTGATTACACGTGTCAGCAGCATGATTAGACACATTTTTAGTTTATCAGAAAAAAAGTTGATTTGGAGGTGACTTGCTCTTTAATTACACGTGAACGTTTGTTAAATTATCAAAACATATTATTAATTATATTGCAACAATTTCAGGTTAACAACATCAGCAAATTAATGTAACATCAGATGATGAAATCATTTATTTCTGCCTGATTGAAATTCTGGCGTAGAAGAAAAAAGTGGGTCAACTGACTTGGGTGGTATTATGTTTAATGATATTCACCCATGTTTCTAATAAAAACGGATAAACAAACAAAAACATTTTATGTATAACGAAGGTATTCAAAAGAACTGAATCTGCTAGAAACAAATAACGGGTTAACAAATTTTGGCACAACACCTGCTAGCAAACATTATCAGTGTCCAGTGGCTAATAAGGTTTTGACATAACCTCTGCACATCATGCTGTGACCTCTGGTAAACAAGTAGTGGTAAAAACATAAACCTACTGTGCAAGACATCTTTTTTTTTGTAAATACATAAATGTCGAGACCGTAGTTGTGGATGGAAAACAACGGAGTCTGTCAGAGTCGTCAACGTTACGGAGGCTGGCGTTTCCGTTTTCCAGAGAGCTGCGACCAGATTTACAAAATATATATATATATCTATACATTCTGTTACAATATTGCTGATTAATAAATTTAAAAGACTCTGTCGCATCTAGAATAAACGTTTGCTACAGCGTAAGAATCATATTAGCAAGTGCCAAGCTAGCAAGTTTCCGGCAAACCTTTCAAAGTAAAAGCATGGTTAGTACATTTCACGCACAATATTGTGTCAAATTTAGTTACCTCTTCTATTTATATTCAATGCTACATTCATTTCTTTTTTAAAATAAAACCCTGGGATATTATCAGTTAAAAATATGTACATTTGCAAAAGAAAAATCCATGATTAAAGGTATAGATTTATTATTTTAAATAGTGGTATTATGTGTCAAAGTCAGTACTTTGCATGAAAATAAATTCTTATCAGGAAAATAATCTAGTAAATGTTCCTACATAATTTCAGTATGAGCAGTGTCATGTGGAGTCAGGAACATGCGTGTGCCTCACGCACGTTAGAAATAACAGGTTGTTTCTAGAATAAAAGTGACTCATCGTTTTATTTACAAAAAGAACCTTTTTTTCTTGGTACTTTATTTTCAGTATGAGGACATAAAAATTGAACAAAATAGTCTTTCCCTTCACAGCGTCACCTGATCAAACATCAAAACTGCATCTTCACTAAAAACAACAAAATCATAAATCACTCGGTTTATAATTAAGATGATTCTTTACAACAAATCTAACTGGAACAAGGACGTTACAAAAACAATGACTTTATCAGAAAATCTCACCTACAGGTGCAACTGGTGGTACAGTTACAAATGTGATTGTTTTTTTCTTATTCAACCTGTTCAGGTTATTTTCTTGAAAATCCGCTTTGTCTTTGCAGAGCTGTGATCCGGTTTCTGACGTAGTCCTTCACGCCTTTCCAGGAGCGGTTCCCAAGCGCTTGTGGCTCAGCCTCTAGGCACCGCATGCAGTCGTCTTTATGAGGCAACCTTTGCTCTGTAATGAAATCCATCAGGTGTTTCTCTACGGCGTAAACTTCTGCTTCGTCCCATTTGAACTTGGTTTTGAGGTGCGAGCCTGCAGAAGAGGAAAAAGGACAAATAAGTGAGCTTCAATAGATTTCTGCTATTATTTAATTCATTCATAGTCACATTCAATTTTGAAAACCTGAAAATGTTCATTTAAGTTGTTTTTTCATTTTATTTAACCTTTATTTAACCAGATGAGTTGATTGAGAACTCATTCTCATTTACAATGATGATCTGGCCAAGAGGCAGCAGCGACAGACACAAAGTTAGCTTTACACCAAAGAAAACTGATGAGATAAATAAATAAATAAATAAAAACAGATAAAAATAAGATGAAACAGTTCATTGATCTGAAACTATTGATTGTAATGAATTATTGAAGGTAGATAATGGAACAGTGAGCTTTAGTGATTTTTGCAGCTCATTCCCGTCGTTGGGAGAGGCAAACTGGAAATGAGGAGCGGCCAAAGGAGGTGCGAGCTTCGGGAATAACCATAGAGATTAAGCTGCTGGAATAAAAACTGCTCCTCTGTCAGCAAAGTGTAAAATAGCCGCATCGATTGAATCCGTTTTGCCTTGGCCCCCAAAATGCCTTGAAACGGCCCTGGGTGTGTGACTGAGAGTTGAAGGATCTGACTTGTATCACATACCATACCATTTTATTTATAAAGCGCATTCAACAAGGCATTACAACCAAACAAGGCGCTGTACACTAAAAATGTTAGCTAATTAAACCGGCGTCGGACAGTCATGTAGAACAGAGATAAAAGGTAAAATGGAAAAACAACAAAATTCCTAGAACTAACAGTTAAAAATCAATAAAACACAGGGAGAATATAAAAAATAAGAAAAACATTTAAAAAAAGAACCCCAATAATACGGAAGTTGATATTGTGAATTCCATTTTTAAACAATGTAGTTGTAAGTGAGGTGCATAATTATGTGGTATAAGCTAGGTTGAAGTAGTGAGTTTTCATGCGTGATTTAAAAACTGCTAGCTGTTGGTGCTTGCCTCACTAGTAGTGGTAATGCGTTCCATGTATAAATATGACATGTGTATAACTTGTTGTTTTATACAGGTAAAAACGTGTAGTGGAGATAAATCTACCTACATTTTACTTTGTTGTCTTGTTTTTATTGAACTATTTCCTGTCTGTCTCTCATCTTCCTGCATCTCCTCTAAACTCTCCAGACAAACTGCTGCCTGGATTCTTACTTTTTCACCTCATCAGTTACTTCTGAGCAGATCAAAGGGATCTCCTGAACGCAGAGCGGAGAGCGTGTTTCGATGCTGCGACAGTGAGGTGAAATCACCGCAGCACACGATGAGCGGAGCGCGTCAGGAACGATTTAAAGACAGAGTACCAGAGGATAGAAACACATATGAACGATCATGTGTTAATAATAATGTTTTGTTTCGCCACCTTGAGAATGCATCGTGCGCCGGACGCAGCGGGCGCACCAACGATCAGCGCTCTGCGTCCTCTCCGCTCAACAGAACCCCGCTACGCTGAGAGTCCATAAATATTGTAATATAGGCAGAAACTGGATCTTTCCCTGAAAGATATCTAGCCCCCATAATTCGATCCCTGCTCCTGGATGAAAAACCGGAGCTTTTGATCCATGTAGGTAACCCCCCACCCCCTCCGGACAGAGAGTGAAAAGTGGACATGTCCGGGGGAAAGAGGACATACGGTCACCCTAGGTAAAACACCAACCTTTGCCTCTTGATTTAAGAGCTGCAGTTCTGGGTTTTTTGACTCTCTGCCCTTGTTGATTAGGATTTGCTGATGCAAAACTTGAACTGGACACGGCATCCTGATGCTCAGTGGACGTTTCTTCTCCATCTGAAGGCTGTGATGTCACTGTAGGGGAACAAGTAAGCCATATAAAAGCTGCGATAGTTGGAGAACTTATACTAAATGTAAGGCTACAATCATCACTGTAGAAGTTACCAGAACTCTGATGCGGCTCCTCCTGTTTGAATGTTTTAGTTATTGATGAACTCTTCCAAGAGCCATTATTTCTCTGCAGGGCTGTGATCCGGTTTCTGACGTAGTCCTTCACACCTTTCCAGGAGCGGTTCCTCAGGGCCCGGGGCTCAGCTTCGAGGCACCGAACACAGTCGTCTTTATGAGGCAACTTGTGCTCAGTAATGAAACGCATCAGGTGTTTCTCCACAGCTCGGACCTCTGCTTCGTCCCATTTAAGCTTGGCTTTATGCTGAAAGCCTGCAAGGAGGGGAAAAAAATCATGTAAGTTTAAAACAATTTGTGCAAACGTTTAAAGAAAATTCAATCAATTTTTATGAATCAACCTAATCATGTTGATGTTTTCTCTGTCAGTCAAATCCGGACACTGACTTGGCCACCTGGAGCAGTGAAACATTAGACATGTCCTAAAAAAAACATGCACTACATTATCAAATTTGTTTGCTTGGTTCCGTTTATTTATTTTGTTTACATGTCCAAACGAGACAGTTTACAGATTTGAATCTCAAGTATTTTGGTTTGCCCTGTTTTGAGCTGCAGCGTTAGTATTTAGCACCTTGCGATATTTCTTAGCCCTTTCGGGTTTATTGGTGTCATTTTTAACCGTTTTTCTCTCTTATTTCCTGGCAGTGCAATCTTTAACACGTATTTATATGCGTTACTGTTTATGCTTTTAGATGGTTCCTTAGTTTAAAGCCGTTTCTGTTGTCGTCTGAGCCTTGGGCTCGTTTTGTGCAGCACTTTGGTTAGCTACCATGGTATTTTAAACTGTGCTTTGTAAAGAAATTGGTGTGGTATTTAGAAATGTTTTTGATCTTTTGTTTTGCTTTATTGGTGCAAAAATTTGTAAACATATTCCTTTGTACATCCTGACTTTACAACGTTCTAAATAACTTACGTAAAATTAAGTAATTATTTAGTTAGCTTAGATTTCGATTGTATCAAGGCAAATGTAAAAAACGAAATTCACAGAGAAAGTACCATCCCCATCAACAGTTCGTTGCATGTAGATTAACTCAAAGAAATAACCAAACCGTAGCCAATTTATTTTTCGTGCTGATTTTAGGAGTGCTCGTTCCGAAACGGAACATTCGCTAGCTGCGTTAGCCTAAGCTAACTTAGCTTTAGCTGCAAGATCGCGAAACTATGAAATATCTCAAATATAAAGGGAACATTTGACATAAAAATACAATAAATAAATGAACAAAACGAGCTTTAACAACATTACATAAGTTTAATTTTTGCCAATTATTCATACAAAAGAAAGCATACCCATGATAATCTCGTCGTCGTTCACTTGTCTAAGCTAACATGACACTTCCGCTATTTTCCACAATAAAAGCGTCAACTCTACAAAAAGTAAAATTCTACAGAATAAAGTACATAATGTAAATATCAATGATTGGATCTGAAAATCAGGGACTACAACATCATTTGAGCAGTGTTAAACTAAAATCAGTAAAACGTGTCAGAGCTAACATTGGTAAACCAACAATCACAAAAACAGGAATTAAATTCTCCTCTAGAAAAAAAATAAAACAGTGCAACAATAGACAAGACTTTATAGAAAATAATGATTAAAAATGAACCCAAATATAAAAACGTAAGAAGTTGTCCCATCAACACTAAAACAAATCAGCAACCGCTGGTAAAGTCCAGAACTCTGTAGTTCCTCCTGCTCCTATCTGTAATATTTTGCTGAATTCGTTGAGGATCCACTTTGTCGTTGCAGTGTTGTAATCCTGTTTCTGACATAGTCCTTTATGCCTTTCCAGGAACGGTTTCTCAGCGCATCTGGCTCAGCCTCCAGACACAGAACACAGTCATCCTTCTGAGGAACCTTCTGCTTTTTAATGAAATGCATCAGATGTTCCTCTACAGCACGGATCTCTTCTTCATCCCATTTATGTTTAGCTTTCTGCTGCAAGCCTGTTGGAAAGAAAAATAAATAAGAACAATATAAAATGATATTAAACAATAAAATACAGCTGCCCACTCTCAATGATCAAATCCAGAATTCTGAAAAAGATTCTCATTCAAAACTTACCTGGATTTGTGTGGAAGACTTGCATACATTTGGGTTTAAGGCTAATAAAGTTTTATTTTAAGATCAGCATCATTGAAATAAAAAAATTAAAAACTCCAGAGTTTAAGGAATTGACGCCCCCATGTGGGCAAACATATTCCTCTGTCAGTGCGCCCCAGGGCACCTGTGGCTACATCGTAGCTCATCACCATCAGTGTGTGAATGATACACTGTAGTGTAAAGCGCTTTGGAGTCCTTACTCAGAGAGGCGCTATACAAGTGCGGGTCATTTATCATTCCCCACAGCGCCCATGAAGGGCCACATAACTGGGATTAGGAGCAGAACATAACTGACATGGATCCCTTTACCAGAAAAAATGAGAACCGTAAATAATAAAATCTAATCAGAAATATGATTTCCTTTCATGAAATATCAGGTAAAACACCTTTGTATAAGGATTATTGTTCAACAAGTCTATCAGTCAGTTAACAAAATCAAATATAACGACCTTTTGCCTGGTCAGACTTGGGAGTAGCGGTCGTTTTTGTCGTTACTCTCCGTTTTTGTTGACGACCAGGATTTGCTGGTTCAGAGCTTAAACCGGTGTCCACATTTTGACGCTCGGTGACAGTTTCTTGACTGTTTGAAGGCTCTGATGTTGCTGTTAGGAAAAAAAAAAAAGTTTTAAATAAATCGACAGCTGAAGCCTCTCCGTTTGCATCAGCGTTGAACACAGATCTAGCATTTACCAGCGCTCTGCCGCGGTTCCTTCAGTTTGCCGGGTCTTCTCCGTTTTGACTTTTTTGACGAGCCCCTTTGTCTCGTCAGAGCTGTGATCCGGTTTCTAACGTAGTCCTTCACACCTTTCCAAGAGCGGTTCCTCAGGGCATGCGGCTCAGCCTCGAGGCACCGCACGCAGTCGTCCTTCTGAGGCAGCTTGTGCTCAGTAATGAAACACATCAGGTGTTTTTCCACAGCCACGACCTCTGCTTCGTCCCATTTAGGTTTGGCTTTGTGCCACAAGCCTGCAAGTAGGAAAAAGGGAAAATCTAAGGAGTTTAAATCAATTAGTGCAACTATTAAAAGAAAATTCAGTCTATTGTTATTAATCAACCCAAATCATGCTGCTGTTTTCTGTCACCTTGAGCGATAAAACATTTAATATGGCCTCCAAAATGATATTTATTACATTATCAAATCTCTAAGAAAATGGAAATTCGGAGAGAAAAAATGTGGGTTATAACAACTTTTACCACAATATTCAAAGAAAGAAATGCAAATTTTCCTAAAACTGTATCGATCCCTAAAAAACCTGCAAGTCAACTTGTTCTACGGGTCTTTTTGCTGCCGTAGTCTCAAGTCCGAATAAATGCCTAGTGAGTTGTTTACGGTTGGGAAAAAAGCTCAGGCGCTCCTGTTTCATGGGGTAGAAGTTAGATGGAAGAACGTGGGGCGGAAAACAGCTGGACTGAGTTTTTCGTGTTAATATTCACGATTAGCAAACGCATACCCTCTGATTGGCTAACAATAACTCGACTCTTCCGCTGCCGTCATCAACAAAACGCAGAATATTGTAAAACATATTTTTTGGGTTAAAAACTGCAACAAGGATGTTTTCTCCACAAATAACACAAGCCCGAATGTGTTTCGCCATGTTGTGGAGATGCTAACGGTTAGCTTCTGCTAGCCTATTAGTGCTCTGTTCTCTCCTTTCTGTGGAAGGTCAGTAACGGAGAAAGAAATGGGTCTTTTTGTTCCAGAGGCTAATGCAGCGATGGCAGCTGTTAATATTTAAACTATTTAAAAATGAACGAACATACATGGTTTCTCAATGAACAGAACCTTTAAGAGGCGATTAAAACCATTTTTGGAGAAATAAAGATTTTCAAAAGAAAACTTTTCAACAAGAAACAACAGGAATGCGGCGTTTCTGTTAACTATCACCACGTAAGACCTTTTTCTCTTGATCTGTTGGGTTTGGGATCAGACGTTTTGTTGGAACTCGTCTCTCCAGATTCCCGTTCTTGACTAAAATCTCCTGATTCAATGGTGGGACTGCAGGTTCCTCTGGGATGCTCTGTGACAACTTGTCTCTTAGAACGTTGGGATTTCACTGTGGAGGAGAGAACAGTCCTAATCTAGCAGTTGCAATCGTAACGACATTCGCTTTATGAGAAAAACAACCTTTAATGATATTATTGCAGCTGTGTTCAGCTTTTACCAGAAGTCCGCTGCGATCCCTCCAGTCGGCGCTTCTTCCTGGTTCTCCGTGAAGCTTCGGAAGAGCTGCCCTGTCTTTGCAGAGCTGTGATCCGGTTTCTGACATAGTGCTTCACAGCTTTCCACGAGCGGCTCCTCAGTGCACCCGGCTCAGCCTCCAGGCACCGAAGGCAGTCGTCTTTCTGAGGCAGCTTGTGTTCCTCAATGAAACCCTTCAGGTGTTTTTCGACAGCCTGAACCTCTGCTTCGTCCCATTTAGGATGGGCTTTGTGGTGTGAAGCTTTAACCCGGACAAATAACTATAAGTTAAGACGGCAATTCGGAAACAAACAAGTGAACCACAAAAAGGATGGATTACCTTCAGACTCCGTGTCGACATCGTCACACGTCACATCTTCCTGTTGAAGGGTTTGGATCGGATTATTGGTCCCAAAGATCTGTTTTTTCTCATCGTCACTCAGGTGCAACAGCTGCAGCATTGTTGAAAAACGGTGATGCGTCTTGACAAACCTCAGGGTCGAGAGGTTTTTAGCTCCGCATTCTTTGAGGTATATGAGGAAGCTATCCGAGCCTCTGTAGGCAGACAGCAACGTTGGTCTCGCAAACACAAACGGGTTGTCCTTTGGAACTCCACATTCTTCTCGAACGCTGATCAGGAGTTCGATTGCCGACTCAAACGAGGGCTTTAGTAAAACAGGGAGCATTCTCCCACAGTTCCCTTTGATGCTAACCCTGCTAAAGTATCCACACAGGGCTTTTTCCAAATCCGAGACGGATTCGTCTATGTCATCCAGCTCGTCTGTCTTTTTCCGGAACCTAAAAGCTGTTATTGAAATAGAAGCGACCTCTTTATTCATCCTCTGGTTGAAAGCAATGGTCCGAGCCAGTACTGCCTTGACCAAAGCAACGTAGTTCTCTCTACAGATGTTCTCTTTGAGTTTCTCCTCAGCAGCATGATGAGCCTTCTCCATGTGGTGATGCAGGAGTTTCACATCTTCAGCCAACGGTAGCTTGTGTTCATTTTTCCTCTTGGATTCCTTGATGTCCTTCAAAGCGCAAGAAGAAATGTGCTTATTCCATTTCTTATGATACAACGATTGAAAGGCTTCGCAGGCTTCCACTGCTTTGGCGTCACCCGAGTCCGCAGCCTTATGCTCGACAACGCTGCAGATCTTTCGTAGGTGGTAACCAACCTTAAAGGCCAGAGATGGAAGGGTGAAGGTCTTCTTCTCGGGGTCATACCCTGCGATGGATTTCACGGCAGACAGCACATGTTTAAAGTTAGAGGGCTGAAAGAAATCCTCCAGAGTCTGTATTGGAGTCGATTTTTGGGCCTCCAGCAGAAGTCTTGCTACCTGTCGAAGGCTTTGTCTTATGTACTGATTATTCTTCCCGTCGTCACTGGACTCACTAAACATCTGCTCTCCAAACTGCAGGAGAACTCGATCTTCCATGACCGCTTGCGTCACGCTGTCATAATGCATCTCACATAGGAGGTTTTTAAAGCCCTCGCTTAGGTCTTCACAGCTTTGACTCTGAAGCACATAATGTGATGAGATGAGCTTCCTTTTTCTCGGTGGTCCATCTGCTTCTTTAACCTTTTCGGGACAATTTCTCATGTGCCTCCAAAAATCCTTCCTCAGAAAGAGACCGTGACAATAAGCACAGTGAATGAAATCTGCTGCTTTTGCCGGGGTGCTCATTCTTCTTCGCGCGATAAGCTGTCCGACTCCCGTTTCTAAAACATCCTTATTGTGAGCAAAGTTTCCCTTCTTTATCAGCTTGTTCCATATTCTCTTCCTTTCGATGGAGTGTGGGGGATACTTAAACGCAACAGCGACTTCAGCTTGTTCGCAATGAAACGTTGTAAGATGCCTCGCCATTTTGATCACGGCCTTGGAGCAAAACAAGCAGTAGTTCCTCTTTTCATCAGAACGGGCCTTTTTCCCATCTTCTTTTGGTAACACTACAATTTCTTCAAGCCGTTTCTTCTTTCCTTTGCAGTTATTTTTTGGAGGACTGCTGTTTTTCTCTTCCTCCGACTCGTCCTTTTCCTCGTTTGTGGGGCTTGGTGGGTCGCTGTGACCACCCTCTGAGTCGACAGAGGCCTCAGACTGGCACTCGGAAACATGACCGTCACTTTCGGGTGCGTAATCAGAATTATCGCCCTCCTCTGAACCACTACGGTCTTTAGCCATTTCCTGTCACATGTAAACAAAAGAAAAAAAATGTAATGTAGAGGTAATCTTCCTAACCCAATGTAAACACCAAATGTGTAAATGGTGAAGTTAAAACCTCTCTTCTTTCTCATATCTAAAAAAAACATTTGTATTGTTTTGAGGGTTAAATTAACTTCTCTATGAGAAAATGAATCATTAAATCCTCAGAATGCCTCAACAAAAGCCATATTTGATAGAACAATCCAGCGCCGCTCAGAAATCTGAACTGACTATTTAATACAGGACAGCGTATCGCTCGCCATGTCTTCAAGTAAGATCATGTGATGCAGACAAATGGAGTCAAACTCTGAAAAAGATCTCACGATCGGTTAAAAGTTGATGTGTGTTGTGACTGACTCTGAGCTACAACCACATCAGACCTCAGCTCATAAAAATGACTGAGTTGGAGCCATTCTTGTGTTTGTTAAAGTCCATTTTCTGCAGCAGCCTAAATAAACTGCGTATTTTAAATAACTTCACTCGTTCACCGCCACTGACGACTTAAGTCGTCGTTTGCATGTTTTTACTGTGTGGGCGTCGGACGAGCCCCCGCACCGTGAGAACAAACATCTCGGCTCTAAAGCCGATCTTCATCCGCGTACGTCACACGTCACGTGATCAGGAAGCAGAACATCCATGTGTTAGGAGATCCGTTTTGGGCTGCTCCTGTAAAAAAAAAAAAGTGAGGCGCGAACCCGAAAAGCTTCTGCCGATCACAATTCAACAACGGATTACGAAAGAACGGATAATGCTCGAAACGCGCGGATTCTTCCTGATGTAAGAGGTGAGTCTTCGCTTTGTTTTGGTTGTTTAGGCGTCGACATCATCCTAGCGTGCAACGTTCTGTCACTCTTAAAACAGTAAAAATGCTGAAAAACGCAGGCAGCGAATGAGTTAATAAACTACCTTACATAGTTATCCAAAATCAACATGACAAACACCAAAACTAAAAGGAGATTACCTCTGACTGCGCTGGTGATGCTGGTGATCTTGGCTCTACGTCACCAGATGATGAACAATCTGCTGATATCTGAGGCTGCAAAAAAACAACAAAAGCCATCATAAATCAAGACTTTTATACAACTGAGACATGAATATCAGCAGTCCCAAAGGCAAAAGGTAGAAAATGAATAAAAATGTGTCAACTTAAAGCTGATTTACCTCCTCTTCTTGCGCCTGACCTTGTTGAACATCCCTAGCTTCAGTCTGCAGACAGAAGTAAATACCCCATTAGTATGGTGGGTATCTGTGTATTTAACACATTAACCAAAAACCTACCCGTGAAGCCGTTTCCTGCTCTGGTTCATCATCGCTGTCCTCTGGAGGCAGGGACTCCAGCTTAATGAGGAAACGACATTAGGACATTTAAATCTCCACAATAATCCAGCAAACAAAGATCTTCCTGCTATAACAAACTTACAAGCTTGTTGATGTTCTCCAGCTGTTGAAGTAGTTGTGCACGATTTAAAACTAGTGAGCGTCGTTTGTCACGGTCAGTCTGACAGAAGATGAGAATATAAATGTGTAATCCTAAACTCCAGATAACATTTTTCAGTGAAGCTCCACAGATCTGTAATTCTTCTAGAAAAGGCAATATTGTTCAAGTTTCTATGAATAATTTATAAATTAAATTCAATGGAGCTAATAATGATTACGTAGCCATTCTTGTTCTTTTATTCCTTAATGCAAATGAAGCTGTTAGTAAAGCCAGCCTGATTTCTCATTACCAAACAAATGAAGACTGTTTGTTTGTGTAGACGGAAATATTACCTGCAATTCGTTACCAAAACCTAAATTTATTGAAACAAGTGTTGTTGTTTTTTTGTTTTTGTTTTCGTGACTAGACGAACGACAAAAGCTTTATGTGCGATGCAAACAAGTTGTACGAACTGTTGTGTTTGCAGGAGGAATATTTACCTCCCGGGACGGGACTTTGTCGACAGAGACAGACTCATTCACAGCTCCTGGGAAAAAGACAATTCACTTGAGTTTTTTGATGTTTCAAAATGTAAGTTTGCACCGAGTGTTAGTAAACCTTTTTTTGGTGATTTTTAGTCTATTTAAAGAGCAAGTCACCCCCAAATCAACTTTTTTTTCTGATAAACTATATACAGTCAGGTCCATAAATATTGGGACATCGACACAATGCTAACATTATTGGCTCTATACACCACCTCTATGGATATCAAATGAAACGAACAAGATGTGCTTTAACTGCAGACTGTCGGCTTTTATTTGAGGTATTTACATCCAAATCAGGTGAACGGTGTAGGAATTACAACAGTTTGCATATGTGCCTCCCACTTGTTAAGGGACCAAGAGTAATGGGACAGAATAAGAACCATAAACCCAACTTATACGTTTCAATACTTGGTTGCAAATCCTTTGCAGTCAATTACAGCCTGAAGTCTGGAACACCTAGACATCACCAGATGTTGGGCTTCATCCCTGGTGATGCTCTGCCAGGCCTCTGCTGTCTTCAGTTCCTGCTTGTTCCTGGGGCATTTTCCCTTCAGTTTTGTCTTCAGCAAGTGAAATGCATGCTCAGTCGGATTCAGGTCAGGTGACTGACTTGGCCATTGCAAAACAGTCCACTTCTTTCCCTTCAGAAACTCTTTGGTTGCTTTTGCAGTATGCTTTGGGTCATTGTCCATCTGCACTGTGAAGCGCCGTCCAATGAGTTCTGAGGCATTTGGCTGAATATGAGCAGATAATATTGCCCGAAACACTTCAGAATTCATCGTGCTGCTTTTGTCAGCAGTCACATCATCAATAAATACAAGAGAACCAGTTCCACTGGCAGCCATACATGCCCACGCCATGGCACTTCCAACACCGTGCTACGGTGGTATGCTTAGGATCATCAGCACTTCCATTCTGTCTCCATACTCTTCTCTTCCCATCACTCTGGTACAAGTGGATCCTGGTCTCATCTGTCCGTAGGATGTTGTTCCAGAACTGTGAAGGCTTCTTTAGATGTTGTTTGGCAAACTCTAATCTGGACTTCCTGTTTTTGGGGCTCACCAATGGTTTACATCTTGTGATGAACCCTCTGTATTCACACTGGTGGAGTCTTCTCTTGATTGTTGACTTTGACACAGATACACCTACCTCCTGGAGAGTGTTCTCGATCTGGCCAACTGTTGTGAAGGGTGTTTTCTTCACCAGGGAAAGGATTCTTCCGTCATCCACCACAGTTGTTTTCCGTGGTCTTCCGGGTCTTTTGGTGTTGCTGAGCTCACCGGTGCGTTCCTTCTTTTTGAGGATGTTGCTTGGGCCACGCCTAATGTTTTCGCTATCTCTCCGATAGGTTTCTTTTGTTTTTTCAGCCTAATGATGGCTTGCTTCATCACTGATAGTAACAGCTCCTTGGATCTCATCTTGACAGTTGACAGCAACAGATTCCAAATGCAAACAGCACACTTGAAATGAACTCTGGACCTTTTATCTGCTCATTGTAATTGGGATAATGAAGGAATAACACACACCTGGCCATGGAACAGCTGAGAAGCCAATTGTCCCTTTACTTTTGGTCCCTTAACAAGTGGGAGGCACATATGCAAACTGTTGCAATTCCTACACCGTTGACCTGATTAGGATGTAAATACCCTCAAATAAAAGCCGACAGTCTGCAGTTAAAGCACATCTTGTTCATTTAATTTGATATCCATTGTGGTGTATAGAGCGAAAAATGTTAGCATTGTGTCGATGTCCCAATATTTATGGACCTGACTGTAAATGCATGTCTAATCGTGCTGCAGACACGTGTAGTCAATAGTTTTACACTTAAGTGCATTTTAGTTCAAATTTTAATTTTCTGTCTAAAACTGTCAGAGTTGTGCCGTTGTCAGGTAAAAACTCTGCACTGCATTTGAATTTAAATCTGCCATCGCTATTGGCTAAGACGGGGGTGGGGAACCCTGGTCCATCAAGGGCCGCTATCCAGCATATTTAAATTTCAACCCTGCAACATCACACCTGATTTCAATCAGCAGGTGATTAACAAGCTTCTGTAGAGCCTGATGAGCTGCAGAACAGGTGAACCAACCACTGAATCACAGGTGTTGGAGCAAAGACAAGCAGGATACCGGCCCTCAAGGACCAGGGTTCCCCACTCCTGGGCTAAGAGGTACCCTAGAACGTTAGCTGGTACCATATGATGTCACAATGTCGTGTGTGTGTTTATTTTGCGGCTCCGCCCTCTCGGTCTGCTAGGCAACAGCATTTGTTTCATTTCTCAAACAGGAAGTGGGAGTTGAGTAATACTCTGGTAGGGGGTGACTTGCTCTTTAAGCTCAAATAGTTCAATTAACAAGCTAGGTTGCAAAAGGGAGCAATGTTGTAGACAAACCAAAGTTTCACTCATCCTGCTGAAAAGACACACATGGTAACATGATACTTGGGAGTAAAAACAAAGTTTACCTTCTGTGTGAGACGAGGGCATCCACTGAGCCGGCTGCTGGGATGTGGAGGAGTTAAAGCAGTTGGAAGATTGCCCAGCAGACTCCACATTGCATCTTCCAAATGTGGCCTGTGACATATTTACATTCTGCTCACATGAGGTCATGTTGAAGGACTGATCAGGAAGTCTGTTTGCTAAACCCTGACTAAGCAACTGGGTCTGAAACGTTTCATAAGAGTTGTTAGCTGACAGAGATGTTGGATTCTGGGACATAAAGGGCTGAGTTGCATGGTTTGGTTGAGGAAGCGATGACGGGGACATAGACTTTCCCCGGCGTGTTGCTACCTGCATCGATGATGTGTGAGGGACTTGCTGAGCAAAGGACATCAAGTGAGGAGCACTAGGATTAGGGGTGCTATAAAAGAGGGAGTTTGATGGTATTGTGTCCAGGTGAGCAGCGTTCTGACTGTTCTCTACTGAAGACATGCAGCTCTGACCAGACGCCTGCTGCTGGGTGTAAAACGATGTCTGATCACACAGCGAATGCAGGCGGAGATGCTGAGAGCTGGTGAGCGGGTTGTTGACCAGTCCTTGTGATGAAGATGTGGGCCAGCCATTCTGGTCCATCCAGGTCGAGCGACTGCCATCTGCTGCAGGGTTGTCCATCACTTTCCATAACATCCACTTAACTCGGGTTTTTCTTTTATTTACATGTCCTAACAGAACAGACAGATTTTATTCTCCATTATTTTGATTTGCCTTAACCTTTGAACATACATACACTTCAAATTAGACAATTAGTCTCTTGAAAGCAAGATTAATACAACTGAGTAGATTAGCTGAAATATTGATATTTTAAACCACTTTTTTTTTTATAATTTTGTTTTGCTTTAATGACGCACAGATTTGTACGATTCCTTCGGACGTGGTCAGGTAGCCTGACTTTACAGCAGCTTTCTAAATAACCACATTCAAGCTTTCAGAAGACAAAGCCAAACGTGTTTCAAGAACTTGTGTAAAATAAAAATAAAAGGAACTGTTTTGAGTAAAAATTACTCTTTTGGAGAAAATTTACCTCCAACAAGCAGTATGATGCGGCCCTTCCATGCTCCTAAGTTCTTATAATAAAAGCATAAAGGACGTTGCATGACACTTGTGCACATCTAACATTTTGCTTAGATTTTTATTTTATCAACGTAAATTTTCTGTTTAAAAATGTTTGCAAGCGCGGAATTACCACGTGGAAACGAACTAAACTGGGAAATGACCAGATACATAGTTCTGCCAACGGTTTGTTTTATGTAGATTAACCCAAAGAAAAAACGTAGCTAATTTCTTTTTCGCGTTGCAGGTTTTAAGAATCCTCGCTACGAATGTGTCGAGTTAGCGAGCTAAGTTAGCTTTAGCTGCTAGCTCGCTAAAGCGTTTAATATCTCAAAAATAAAGAGATTTTAACACAAAGATGCAAAAAAAGAGTAAAATAATACATTACATACATTTCATTTTAGGCCAATGGTTTATACAAAGGGAGCATACTCATGAACATCCCCTGTAGTTCTCTAGGCTAACACACTTCCGCTTATTTTTTCACAATAAAAGCATTAACGCTACAAAAAGTAGTCCCACAAAGTAAGGTACATAAATGTAAAAATCAAAGTCTAACGCTGAAAATCTGTGACTACAACATAAATTGAGCAGTTTATGAAGCAGTGAATTAACTTCTCTTCTAGAAGTGAGAAAACAGTGCAAAACAAGAAAACAATGGTGAAAATGACCAGAAGTATAAAAACACAAGACAGTAGCGAACAGTTGTCCCATCAACACTAAAACAAATCAGCAACCGCTGGTAAAGTCCAGAACTCTGTAGTTCCTCCTGCTCCTATCTGTAATATTTTGCTGAATTCGTTGAGGATCCACTTTGTCGTTGCAGTGTTGTAATCCTGTTTCTGACATAGTCCTTTATGCCTTTCCAGGAACGGTTTCTCAGCGCATCTGGCTCAGCCTCCAGACACAGAACACAGTCATCCTTCTGAGGAACCTTCTGCTTTTTAATGAAATGCATCAGATGTTCCTCTACAGCACGGATCTCTTCTTCATCCCATTTATGTTTAGATTTCTGCTGCAAGCCTGTTGGAAAGAAAAATAAATAAGAACAATATAAAATGATATTAAACAATAAAATACAGCTGCCCACTCTCAATTATCAAATCCTAATAGTTTATAAAGATTTTTTAATTAAAATTACTTGGATTTGTCTGGAAAACATGCATAAATATGAGTTTAGGGATAATAAAGTTTTATTCTAAAATCAACAACCTTGAACTGAAAAGACTAGAGAGATTAAGGAAGATGCGCCCTCAGGTGGGCAAACGAAAACGATTTTTTTATATAACGTCTCTTAAGGTAAAAATCATGTTGCTCCACAAGAACAAAACGATTAAAAAAATATTAAAAATATGTTTCAAATGAGAAAAAGATACAAATTGTGATTAAAATATAAGGGAAGGTAAAGAGAAAATGAACAGCAATGATGGAAATCCCAGGAAAGGCGGAATAAGAGCAGAATAAGGAATGGGTGGGGATGAAGGTCATACAACAACAAGGAGACCACTGACCAAAACAACACAACAGATTAAAGGCCTGACATGGATCCCTATGGATCCCCCTGAGCCTGAGATCAGTGGACTCCTTTAAAAAGCAGCTGAAGACTCACTTGTTCAAGCTGGCTTTTGGATGACCTTCTTCACCTCTCTCTCTTTATTCTGCTCTCCCCACCTATTCCACCTTCCTCAGGATCCACTGGTTTCCCTCTTTCCTGTTCACTCTCTCTTTCTTAACATTTTTTAGTCACAATTGTCTATTTTTGCTCGTTTTAAATATATTTTTAACCATTTTCTAAATTCTTTTTTGTATTTTTTTACATTTGTTGTTTTTGTGAAGCGCCTCGTGATTTTTATCTTCAGAGGCGCTATAGAAATGATATTTTCTTCTTCTTCCTACAACTTACCAGATAAAATATGTAACTCAGACATTAAAATAACCAGAAACATTACTTCATTTTTATTTAAGGGGTATTGTTTAACAAGTCTGCATCAGTCGATTGACAAAATAAAAAGATAATGACCTTTTGCCTTGTCAGACGTGGGAGCAGCAGACTTTTTTGTCGTTACTCCATGCTTTTGTTGACAGCTTAAGCCAGTATCTATATGCTGATGCTCAGTGACAGTTTCTTGACTGTTTGAAGGCTCTGATGTTACTGTAGAAAATAAAATATATATTCATTATTTTAAAATAAATCAACAGCTGCTACATGCTAACACGTATCTAGCATTTACCAGTGGTCTGCCGTGGTTCCGTCGGTTTCCCAAGGCTTCGCTTTTTTGACGTTTTTGAAGAGCAGCTTTGTCTCTGCAGAGCTGTTATCCGGTTTCTGACGTAGTCCTTCACACCTTTCCAGGAGCGGTTCCCAAGTTCACACGGCTCTGCCTCAAGGCACCGAATGCAGTCGTCTTTCTGAGGCAACCTGTGCTCTTTAATGAAACTCATCAGGTGCTTCTCTATAGCTGTGACCTCTGCTTCGTCCCATTTAGGTTTGGCTTTGTGGGGAAAAAGAGAAACAATCAAGGTTAAACTAATGCATGCATTTTTTTTAAATAAAATTAGTTCATCTTTATTTTCAAAAATCGTGTTCAATGGTGATTGCTGCATTTTTCTCTGCAATGTTGTACCCAATAACTAGTTTGGTTCAATGTGGAGTTTTGCCATCAAGAAGCAATACATGAAAACAGGAAGTTGATCAATATTCACCTTTATCATTTCATGATCAGTTAGTATTTAGTAACGTTTTACATTCTGGCTCTATACACCACCACAATGGATCTGAAACTGCAGACTGTCAGCTTTAATTTGAGGGTATTTACACCCAAATCAGGTGAACGGTGTAGGAATTGCAACCGTTTGCATATGTGCCTCCCACTTGTTAAGGGACCAAAAGTAATGGGACAGAAAATTGATCATGAATCAGACATTAACTTTTTATCACTTGGTTGCAAATCCTTTGCAGTTATTTACAGCCTGAAGTCTGGAATGCATAGGAATCACCAGATGCTAGGTTTCATCACTGGTTACCGTATTTTCCGGACTATAAGTCACACTTTTCTTCATAGTCTGGCCGGTCCTGTGACTTATACTCCACAGCGACTTATATACCAAACTATGTAGGCTATAACACGCTGCTGCGGGCCAGCTCCGGACCAGGAATGAGCTCCCCTGTCCTGCTGGGAGGGTTTGAAACACCACCATCATCTGCTGGAGACTGTGGCGTGCTGCAGCGCATACCGCTGATGCAACAGCTGGTTGTTTATTCTGTTACTATGACCGGTACTTGTCTTGCAATGTGAAATGCCTGGTCTCAGACTTTGTAAGAAAAATAATAAAATTTCCCCCAAAATGCGACTTATATATGTTTTCTTCTTCATTATACATTTTATGGCTGGTGCGACTTATACTCCGGAAAATACGGTACGTTCTGCCAGGCCTCTACTGCAACGGTTTTCACTTCCTTTTGTTCTCGGGGCATTTTCCCTTGCTTTGTTTCATTTCAAATCCCCTGTGATGGTGTTTAGAGCCAAAAATGTTAGAATTGTGTCGATGTCCCAACATTTATGAACCTGACTGAAAATGAAAAATAAAGACGTTGACTTCTAATGATCACTAAAAAGTTACCTTTTGATTTTTTTGACTTTGGAGTAGAAGCTTTGTTGTAAGTTGTTGCTCCATGTGGTCGTTGGGTTGGTTCCACATTTGAACTGGGGACCACACCATGATGCTCTCTGGCAGCTTCTAGTTTGTTTGAAGGCTGGGACCTCACTGAATCAAAGAGAAGACCAGTTAGACCTTTTGGTTTCAGCCACTTGGATGTCTTTCAATTTGCAATTGAGCAAATCACATCTGATTATTATCATCTTACCAGAACTCTTCTGTGTTCTCTTCAGTCCGGTTATCTTCCTGGTTTTCGACAACTTTTTGGAAGCACCGCTTTCTCTCTGCAGAGTTGTGATCCGGTTTCTGACGTAGTCCTTCAAACCTTTCCAGGAGCGGTTCCTCAGGGCACGTGGCTCAGCTTCAAGGCACCGAACGCAGTCGACTTTTTGGGGCAACTTGTGCTCCTGAATGAACCTCATCAGGTGTTTTTCTACAGCTCGGACCTCTGCTTCATCCCATTTAGGTTTGGTTTTACACCGCAAGGCTGTGAGTGAATTAAAATGAGAAACTAGGTTGTCTTGAGGAGTGGATCGCAAAGATTTCAGCTTCAAACCAACACATTAGCCTTTACTGAGACATGCAACCCCAAATATATCTGGTTTGATAATGTAAACTTGCATAAAAAGCTAAAAAAGTCAGAAAAATACTTCAGCTTGTATCCATTTAAGAGAAATTTGTAACAATAATGCTGGATGTACAACTTCAGAAAATGTATATGAATTTTATTTCTAATATTGGCGACTGTTCGCCTGTAAACCTGATGCTCAGGATAATTGCATTATAATTAGTTATAATTAGTCAAAATTACCACAAATTTCTGTTTCTGTCTGTAAAAAAGATAAAGGAATGTTTGGACAAAGGTGTTGGGAAGGATGTAAATGAAATCTGGGTCGATACATCAAATAAAACGTCCGACTAGAATGTGTGCAAAAATAACTAAAACTCACTACTTTAGTTCCGTTATCTACCTTCAATAATTAATTGCGATCAATAGTTTTTTTATGTGCCTGCTTCTGAGTGCTTAAGGATGGTTTTAAGTCTGTTTTTATCTTGTTGCATTTTATCTTATCTGTCATTCTTTGATGTAAAGCTAATTATGTGTCTGTTGCTGCTGCCTCTTGGCCAGATTATCATAAATGAGAATGAGCTATCTATCGACTCGTCTGGTTAAAGAGCAAGTCACCCCCAAATCAACTTTTTTCCTGATAAACTATATAAATGCGTGTCTAATCGTGCTACAGGTACGTGTAGTCAATAGTTTTGCACTTTAGTGCATTTTAGTTAAAATTTAAATTTTCTGCCTAAAACTGTCAAGTGTTGTGCCGTTGTCAGGTAAAAACTCTGCACTGTGTTTGAATTTAAATCTGCTATCACTATTGCTTAAGAGGTACCCTAGAACGTTAGCTGGTACCAAATGATGTCACAATGTTGTTGTGAGCCTGTGTGTGTGTGTGTGTGTATTTGTTAGCGGCTCCACCCTCTCGTTCTGCTAGGCAACAGCATTTGTTGCATTCTTCAAACAGGAAGTGGGAGTGGAGTAATACTCTGGTAGGGGGTGACTTGCTCTTTGAATAAAAAAATTTATTTAATTAAACAAAATACAAGATTGATTTAAAAATACTCATATAAAAAACACCCGTTTATATTATGATGCCATGTCTTTAATTATTCAAGTGACTTAAAATTCACCAAGACTTACATTATAGGGAGAAATCTCAGCCAAACAAAGAATTATAAAGTATTCGGATTACAAAAATAAATTACTACCTTTTCCATATTTCCTGTTGTATTCAGCAGTGAAGCTGATTGTTGTTGTTTCCTGTTTATGACCGAGACATTCTGGTCCAAAGAGTGAACTGGAAAGGTCATGATGTTGGTCTGAAATAATCAGAAAAAAAAAAAATAATAAAAAATTTTCATTTGAAGTAACACATCAACAGTTTTACCTTTTCGGTTAAGCAAGCATTTTTCTTCCAATTCTATGTTTACTTGCCTAAAATCACTAAATGAATCTATCCAAAAACATGGTAATCTCTGAAGCCGAAATCGTTGCCATGGTGATGTTCTGTGCAGCTGGTCCAGTAGATATGTAACGTTAGCGCGTTCCTGGGATTCAACAGTCTTGCAACCCCGACACCGCAGATCTCGGATGGAGGTGTCTGGGCTTTTAGCTTTGTATATAACGCTGCTTACATGGTCGTCTGTGAAGCCGGAAACAGGTTCACAGTGTGGAGGCGCAGCTGGTCGTTTCACCACACACCGCATTCAAACTGGGATTACTTTAGGTTACTGTCGTAACCCCGGTTCTCTGAGTAACATGAGTGAGATGTCTCACTATGGGATACGCCCCTCCACAGATTCCTCAGAAGCACTTATCTCAATATGCTAATCCTGATTGTCCAGTGACCGTGACGTACACGTTACCTGCACCATTCAAGATAAACACCTCTTCTCGCTTCGCCCAGCAAGAAGGGTTGTCTGGTGAGACATCTCATTCATGTAACTCAGAGAACCGGGGTTACGACAGTAACCTAAAGTTCTCTGTCTTAACATTCGTTTCGATGTCTCACTATGGTAAATGGAGACTCCCGTATTGCCAGACAGCTTATCCAGCGATCACCAACCCATAGGGGTACGTCTTGGCCCGCTGAGGACCCCACACCCTGAATTGTGTGGGTCATTTCACGGACCGAAATGTCAAGCTTATAGAAGTGTGTAAATGCAAGTGGAGAAGCCCAACTTGCTGCAGCAGAGATCTCCTGGACGGACTGCCCCCGAAAAAGGGCCCAAGAAGCAGACAGGCCCCTAGTAGAATGGGCCCTGAGCCCTACAGGTGCCTGAATAAACTGACAGGAGTAAGCCAGAGAAATAGCCTCCACAATCCAGTGGGAAAGCCGCTGCTTTGTGATGGGTTTCCCCTTACAAGGTCCACCCCATGACACAAAAGGCTGGTCCCCCCGCGAAGGTTCCCTGTCCGATTAACATACTCCTTGAGCGCGCCCAATCGTGCGCCAGCGCGTCCACGCTGAGTGGAGCGTCTCGGTCGTGCAGGGAGAAAAAAAGTGGACACTGAGCATTCTCCTTGGAGGCAAAAAGATCCACTACGGTTGTGCCAAACCGGATACAAATCTGTTCCAACACTGCTGGATGCAGGCTCCAATCCCCGTACAGGGGAGTCCCTCTGGACAACAGATCAGCCCCCCGATTCAGAACACCCGGGACGTGGGTGGCTCTGATTGGGAGATGTCTGCTGCACCATAGGATCAGTCTGCGTGCCAGCGTGTGTAACCGCATGGAGCGCAGCCCCGCTGGTGGTTTATATAAGCCACAGTTGCGGTGTTGTCTGTTCTCACTAGGACATGACGGCCGGAGAGAAAAGACAGGAAGTGCCTCAGGGCTAGAAAGACTGTGAGGAGTTCCAGATAATTTATGTGTCCCCCAGAGCTCTCTGCTCCACACACCCCTGACAGAGTGACCTTCCAGGAGGCCCCCAAACCTGAAAGGCTTGCATCTGTCGTGACCACTTTCCTCACGAGAACCAACCCGAAAGGCATCCCCTGTGCCAAGAGGAAGGGTTGACGCCAACAGCGGAGCGCCGCGGCGCACGCTGCAGAGACCGTCACCCTGCGCGCTCTGTGGCGCACTGGAGAGAGTCCCAGAGAAGCCACCCAGCGTTGAAAATCTCTCATGTGTAGACGGCCGAGTGCTACCACTGAAAAGAGCGGTACCACTGAAATAGCAGACGCCATGAGACCCAAAACACTGAGGGACAACGCAAACCGCACCGAACTCTGTAGGGGGAAGCGCGCCAGGCAGAACGACAGCGCGTTCACGCGTGGTGCTGAGAGACGGGCCGTGAACGCCCCTGAGTCCAGATTCAGACCTAGAAAGGTTATTTTCTGGGAGGGGAGTAAAACGCTTTTCTGCCAGTTTATTCTGAAACCCAGACCACACAAGTGATGGATCGCAACCAGCGTGTGTGACGTTGCCTCCTCTCTGGACCGTGCCAGCCGAATGCCCCTCTCTCTCAGAGGGGCGATCATCGCCTCGGTACACCTGACAAACACCCTCGGGCTCAGCGAGAGGCCGAAAGGGAGCACGGTATATTCACAACACACTCCCTGAAAGGCAAACCTCAGAAATTTCCTGTGTGGAGGGTACACGAGAATATGAAAGTATGCGTCCCTCAGGTCGATTGAGGTGAACCAGTCATTCTAGTGAATCAGACGCAAAAGGGATGAGAGAGTGAACATTTTGAATTTGTACTTTCTGAGGCATGGGTTCAGGGCCCTCAGATCCAGGATCGGAATAATACCGGTCCCTCCCCGTTTAGGGACCAGGAAGTACCTGGAGTAGAACCCACCCTGAGACCGATCGGGAGGCACAATGCATATCACTCCCTTCTCTAGCAGGGAGGAGATTTCTCCCTGAATGATGTGAGCTGATGTCCCCTGGGCGTGGGAGAAACCGCTGTCCATTCCTCTATGTGAGTGGAGAGACACAGCCGTGACACGCGGTGCTTGTGGCAACTACTGCGCATACATGGGGGCTTTGTGCTTTGGCGGCCCTGGCGTACGGGGACGACCCGTAGCTGGATGGAAAGTCCGCCAGGGACCGCCCCAACCTGGTTTCGCTCATCTGCATCATTTATATTGATTTCTGCTGCACCCTTGACATTCTGTCTGGATGCGGCAGCAAACTTTTTAATGCTTCTTGAGCGTGACATCTTTGTGAAAAACAATGTGAGTGCTTGTGACGTGTGTTTTGAGCTGGCACGGCCGGTTGTACGTCCTGGCCCCACCCTGAACCGATCAGGGACTCTGCCGGGAGGGTCCCGTGAGGGTGGGAGAAAGCACCATGGTAACAACGAACAGGTGGAGCCGGCGAACGGGAAACTGCCAGCTGCAGAGTCGGGAGGGAAAGAACTCCATCAGGATGCTCTTTTCTTCTTTCTCACCTGCTGACCGCTGGGTCGGGTGGGTTGTCCCGTTGGCGGAGCGGCTTGGTTGCCGGACCTCTGAGGCCAAACTGGTTGAGGCTTTGAGCCCAAAGAAGCTGTTTGGACTGCTTGAGACTTCAGGCGCTTTGGGATCTGGAACTGAGGCTGGGCTCGGGCAGCTGCCTGAGGAAAAGTCAGCCGAGTTGCCGAAAGCCATGGGTGCAGGTGGGCTGCAACCAGCAGTTCCATCGGCGGCATGAGAAGCATGCCAGCCTTATCCTTACCCTCGAAATCCAGTGAGGAGGCTCCTTGGACAGGAGATCTGGAGCTGAAAGGGCGTTTGTCCCAAGATGATCTCACTTCTTCGAGGAGCTCCGGGAAGGAGGGCAGGAGAGGCTTTGCCGCCCTTGTGGCCTGAGGCAGCTTCTTTCCCTCGTAGTGGGATCTGACAGCTTCAGTGACCACGGTGAGCCAAGGGATGTTGAGCCTGGTCGCAACGCATCGGCAGACTGACTCCATGTCCAGGTGGGCGGCCGGAGAAACCCCGGGAGAGGACGGAAAGCTAGGCGTGGAGGCCTGAGGGGGAGAAAAATGTCGTCATCCTCGTCCTCCTCTGAAATGAGGAGTTCCGAGGTGTCCTCGTCGTCTCCGTAATCCAACTCCAACACGTCCTCGACGGGGTGGCTCGGAACGGCCAGTTCGAGCTGTGAGTCCCAGCTATGTTCGGCACACAGTTCCGGCTCCGGGAGGGCATGTTCGTCGGCGTCCCCAGGCGGTGGCCCAGGGGCCGGCAGGCATGGGTCCTTCCCCGACAGGCTAGCTTGGCGCGCAATCCGCCGGCGAAGACTCTTCAGGGTGAAGCAAGCACAGCTCTCACATGACCCGGGGACTTCCAATGCTAGCTTGGTGTGTTTCTGGCCGAGGCAGCCCGAGCAGACCTTGTGCGGGTCTTCGCTCGAGATTTTGTTCCCGCAGGTACAGAGGCGAGCTCCTGCGCCGTCAACTACTCTGGTGGGAGGAGCGGCTTCCATGTGGACTAACTGGTGTGTTAGCCAGAGAACGAACAGATGCAATGAAGTGTGAAACTGCTCGCTGTGCCCCGAGCCTATGGTGAAGGTCAGGACAGAAGGACAGTAAGTTAACGTTCGGCGACGGAGAGAGAATATTAGCTGGCTCCGTCTGTGAACAGTTGAGCTAACTTACCTGAGAGATAAGCTACCACCGAAGCGAGAAGAGGTGATTGAAAGGTGCGTGCGTTGGGACGCTTGCTACTTATAGTAGAAGGTGACGCGTACATCACAGTCACTGGCCAATCAGGATTGGCGTATTGAGATAAGTGCTTCTGAGGAATCCGTGGAGGGGCGTATCCCATAGCGAGACATCGAAATGAATGTTAAGAAAGAACTGTCGTTAGCGCCAAAGCTTAATTTGAGACTATTTTGAAAGGACGCGCTCCGGTAACTCTCTGCTAGGATCTGGAAACTCAATTGTTAAGCAAACTTTAGTTTAGCGCCAATGCTCGAGGTATAAAGCAAGAAAATCTAAGGCATAAGTGGCCATATGCAATTTAGAACTTCCCTAGATTACCTTTTTAAAACATTTGCTGTGCTGCAGCGGTTTTCTGAGCGGTTGTTTCGGTTCTGTGTACCATCTGGTTCCGAAAATGACCCTGCTGCGCAGAAGAAACGCAGTACCTCAGTGAGTACAGCCCAGTGTGAGAGTGTGTGTGTATGTGTTTGTCCGAGTCCAGCGCAGTTGTCCCAGCCTACCCCAATAAGCATCATAGACAATGTAGTGTACACAAAGATTCTTCAGAACCGAGTTCGATAACTACATCAATCAACCGATGGACATTCAATTATATAATTCCTCAAAAACAACACTCTTTTTAAACACCATCATCTCGACTGGCTTCCTAAATGTACATGCCATTGCTGCTGTGCTCCTTGCAAGTTTCAGCCCCAGCTCTGTTAGCACAGTCCTGATGAAAAGGGACTTGGGCAACCAATCACACCTTTTACAACGCCACGTCACATCGCATAATCCGTGGATGTGCACGGGCACAAAAACTAGAAAAATGTTTCTGAATTTTCTCCAACTACATCAGACATAAATAACGCTATTACCAAGCTAACTGTGCTTTGAACCTTGGCATTTGATCACTATTGGTCTACACATTAAACAGTGAAACTAGAAGAGTCGTTACCATCACACTCCACTCCAGCGTCGCCATGCACTGCTTGGGTCTGACGTTTAGGGCCAAAGATCTGTCTGAACTCATCATCACTCAGGTAAACTTTTGACATCATCGTTGCAAAATGCTGCCGAAGCTTGGGTAACGTGAGAGCCGCTGGCTTTTCAGCTCCACATTCTTTAACAAATATTTGTGTGCAGACCCACCTTTTCAGGGTGGAGGAGGGAAAGGGAGATGGTATACCGAACACAAACGGGTTGTCCTTAGGAACTCCACATTCTTCTCGAACGCTGATCAGAAGTTCGATTGCTGACTCAAACGAAGGCTTTAGTAAAACAGGGAGCATTCTCCCACAGTTTCCTTTGATGTCAACCCTGCTAAAGAATCCACACAGGGTTTTCTCCAGATCTGAGACAGATACGTCCATGTCATCAAGTAAATCAGACTTTTTCCGAGACCTGAAAGCCGTTAGTGAAATAGAGGTGACCTCTCTAGCTTTCCTCTTGTTGAAAACAAGGATCTGAGCCAGTACCACCTTGGCCAGAGCAAGGTAGTTCTCACTACAAACGTTCTCTTTGAGTTTCTCCTCAGCATCACGATGAACCTTCTCCAAGTGGTCATGAAGGCGTTTCACATCTTCAACAAACGGTGCATCATCTTTGTTTTTCTTTTTGGTTTCCTTGAGATTTCTAAAAGCACGTGAAGAAATGTGTTTATTCCATTTCTTTTGATACAAAGATTGAAAGATTTTGCAAGCCTCCTCTGCTTTGGTATCACCATATTTCACTGCAGTGCGCTCAACAACACTGCAGATCTTTTGTAGGTTGTAACCAACCTTAAAGGCCAGTGAGGGCGTGGTGAAGGTTTTCGTTTCGGGGTCATACCCTGCCACAGATTTCACGGCAGACACCACATGTTTAAAGTTAGAGGGCTGAAAGAAATCCTCCAGAGTCCGCATAGGAGTCGATTTTTGAGCCTCCAGCAGAAGTCTTGCTACCAGTCGAAGGTTTTGTCTTATGTACTGATGATTCTTTACATCGTCACTGTACTCACTAAACATCTGCTCTCCAAACTGCAAGAGAATCTGATCTTTTATGACAGCTTCGGTCACGTCGTCATATTGCATCTCACATAGGACGTTTTTAAAACCCTCACTCAGGTTTTCACAGTTTTTAGTCAGAATTGCGCACTGTGTAACCAATCGTGGCCTTTTATCCTTTGTTTCGTTTGCTTTCTCTGGTTTTTCACTGCACGTTTTCAGGTGCCTCCATACGTTTTTCTTAGCAAAGTTTCCAAAGCAATAAACACAGTGAACGTAATCTGTTGCTTTTTGTGGCTTTGTGGGTCTTGCTTGTACAGCAAGCTGTCCTTTTCCTGTTTGTAAAACATACTTGTTGTGAGCAAAGTTTCCCGCCTTTATTAGTTTTTTCCATATTTGTGTCCTTTCTTTTGAGTGCACCGGATGCTGGAACGCAACAGCAACTTCAGCTCTGTCACTGTGGATCACTGTAAGATGTCTTGACATTTTGAGCACAGGCTTTGAACAGAATAAACAGTAATTCTTTTTGTCAAAAATGCGCTTTCCTTTCTGGTGTGATATTGGCACAACCACAGTTTCTGAGGGCTTCTGTGTATTTGTTTGAGTGGTGCTTTCCTCTTCCCCAGCCTCTTTTTTGCAGGCTGTGTCCTCTGCAGGGTAATCCTCCGAGTCAGTGGTGTCCTCAGACACACAGTCTGAAACATTTCCATCACTTGTAGATTTATAATTAGATTCATTCTCATCCTCTGATTCGCTACAACTTTTTTCTACTTGCTGATCCTGAAATGTGAAAAAGAAAATTATAATCCAGGTGTTATTTCTTGCCTATTCTAACTCTAACTTGTTTATTCATCATGAAAGTGGACTGATAAGCATGATGAATAACAAAAAATACCCACCACTGATTCGGCTGGTGACACTGGCTCTTTTTGCTTGTCGGACAGGCTATCCTGTTGGTCACAGGACAAAGACGGCGAACGATTTGCTGAATGTTGAGACTGAAATACAAAAATAAACATTACTCAAAAGTATATAGGAAATTCGTGGATTAAGTTTTGAGTTTCAACAGCCTAAGTCCTAAAAAACAAAAAAACGCAGCCATAATTAAAGGGACTTTACGGACTTTTGAAATTTTAAGCTCGTGATTGCCCCCTCAGGTCAAAAGCGGAACGGCAGCTTTAATAGTAGGCTCGTGCACGAGGCGCACATGCTGTACGTGCACACTCCTTAATGAAAATAACAGCTGAGACAGTCCCGCGTGTGTGTGTGTGTGTGTGTGTGTGTGTGTATGTGTGTGTGTGTGTGGTCCGGAGGACAGAGGACAAGAGAACACGCAGCTAATTAATTAAATAATTTGGTTCTGTACCTTTCTCTTCAGCACAGCCGACAAAGGTTCATGATGGGTCAGTCCTCCTGCATGCTCAGATCATTCCCTTCCCTTGCTTGAAAAATTGTTTCAAAATGAAAGTTGAACCCACATCTTTTTTATCTGTGAATTCAATGCCGTTCGGCGAGTCTCAAATAAAAATTTGGGCATCTTACTGTAAAAAAATATACCATTAATGTAAAAAAGAATCTCTAAATAAACTATGTTCACACCCAGAATCAAACCCAGGTCTTCCGCATGAGAGTCCGACATCTTACTAAGTGAGCTAAAGCACCAGCGACATCCTTTGTATCTGTAACATTTATATCCTTGATGACGGCTGAAACAACGTTCAAAGAACGGTTCGGAGTGAAAATGGCTATTTTGCTGCTAATTAGCAGGAAATATCTAGAAGAAAGTTCTACAGAAAGTAGCTAAGGGTCCTCAGAAATGTAGCTAGCTTTGTCACTAGGCGTTAGGAACAGCGACAAAGTGGCACTGCCTCTCTCTCTGCTGCTAAAGCTACGGATAGCAAATGCTACGGGCGATGCCTGAGCGTGAACGCGCATGAAGCAGCCTGCTCGACCCGAGCATCTCTCTTTTTCTGTGATTTTACAGAAAAACAGGCAATCACAGTAAAAATGCCAGGGCTCATTCTACAGGACCAGGTCATTGCAGGAGAATGTATGAAGAAGACATTTATTATTTCTATACATGTTTTCGCTGTCACACTTCCATAATGCCCCTTTAAGAATGTTGTCTTTGTAAAACACCTTATGTGCATCACTGTTGCCTACGTATTACAGCACAAACTACACCATAAATGACTTACCTGAACAGTTTTGTGTGACAGCTGCTTGTCACTGCTGTTACTTGGAGGCAGAGATTCCAGCTACATGGGGAAAAGATTAAAATCAACAGGCAGAAGATGTGTGAGATTACTCTTATAGAAATGTTTTAATAGACAAAAAAATAAAATAAAATAAAAAACTGAACACTTACTAGTACATCTACGTTCTCCAGTTGTTGGAGCAGCTGTGCACGCTGTTTTAAAATTGTTGAACGACGCTTTTCGATATCAGCCTGAAATCAAACAAACCTGAAGCATTACTCTGAAATACCCAGGTTAACATTTTCTGGGATGCTCCAAAGTTTGCTACTTTCACCTGAATTTTTCACATCATGTACCGTATTTTCCGGAGTATACAGTGGGGCAAAAAAGTATTTAGTCAGCCACCGATTGTGCAAGTTCTCCCACTTAAAATGATGACAGAGGTCAGTAATTTTCGTCATAGGTACACTTCAACTGTGAGAGACAGAATGTGAAAAAAAAAAATCCATGAATTCACATGGCAGGATTTTTAAAGAATTTATTTGTAAATCAGGGTGGAAAATAAGTATTTGGTCACTTCAAACAAGGAAAATCTCTGGCTCTCACAGACCTGTAATGTCTTCTTTAAGAAGCTTTTCTGTCCTCCACTCGTTACCTGTATTAATGGCACCTGTTTGAACTCAATATCTGTATAAAAGACACCTGTCCACAGCCTCAAACAGTCAGACTCCAAACTCTACTATGGCCAAGACCAAAGAGCTTTCGAAGGACACTGGGAAAAGAATTGTAGACCTGCACCAGACTGGGAAGAGTGAATCTACAATAGGCAAGCAGCTTGGTGTGAAAAAATCAACTGTGGGAGCAATTATCAGAAAATGGAAGACATACAAGACCACTGATAATCTCCCTCGATCTGGGGCTCCACGCACAATCTCATCCCGTGGGGTCAAAATGATCATGAGAACGGTGAGCAAGAATCCCAGAACCACATAGGGGGACCTGGTGAATGAACTGCAGAGAGCTGGGACCACAGTAACAAAGGTCACCATCAGTAACACACTACAACGGCAGGGAATCAAATCCTGCAGTGCCAGACGTGTTCCGCTGCTGAAGCCAGTGCATGTCCAGGCCCGTCTGATTTTTGCCAGAGAGCACATGGATGATACAGCAGAGGATTGGGAGAATGTCATGTGGTCAGATGAAACCAAAGTAGATCTTTTTGGAATAAACTCAACTCGTGTTTGAAGGAAGAAGAATACTGAGTTGCGTCCCAAGAACACCATACCTACTGTGAAGCATGGGGGTGGGAACATCATGCTTTGGGGCTGTATTTCTGCTAAAGGGACAGGACGACTGATCCGTGTTCAGGACAGAATGAATGGGGCCATGTATGGTGAGATTCTGAGCCAAAACCTCCTTCCATCAGTGAGAGCTTTGAAGATGAAACGTGGCTGGGTCTTCCAACACGACAATGATCCCAAACACACCGCCCGGGCAACAAAGGAGTGGCTCCGTAGGAAGCATTTGAAAGTCCTGGAGTGGCCTAGCCAGTCTCCAGACCTCAACCCCATAGAAAATCTGTGGAGGGAGTTGAAAGTCCGTGTTGCTCGGCGACAGCCCCAAAACATCACTGCTCTCAAGAAGATCTGCATGGAGGAATGGGCCAAAATACCAGCTACTGTGTGTGCAAACCTGGTAAAGACCTATAGTAATCGTTTGACCTCTGTTATTGCAAAAAAAAAGGTTATGTTACAAAGTATTGAGTTGATTTTTTGTTATTGACCAAATACTTATTTTCCACCCTGATTTACAAATAAATTCTTTAAAAATCCTGCCATGTGAATTCATGGATTTTTTTTCACATTCTGTCTCTCACAGTTGAAGTGTACCTATGATGTAAATTACTGACCACTGTCATCATTTTAAGTGGGAGAACTTGCACAATCGGTGGCTGACTAAATACTTTTTTGCCCCACTGTAAGTCGCACCAGCCATAAAATGTACAATGAAGAAGAAAAAAAAACATATTGTGGTAAATGGCCTGTATTTGATATAGCGCCTTCTAGAGTCCTGGAACCCCCCCAAGGCGCTTTACAACACAATCAGTCATTCACCCATTCACACACACTGGTGGGGATGAGCTACATTGTAGCCACAGCTGCCCTGGGGCGCACTGACAGAGGCGAGGCTGCCGAGCAAAGGCGCCACCGGTTCATCCGACCACCACCAGCAGGCAACGTGGGTTAAGTGTCTTGTCCAAGGACACAACGACAGCGACAAACTGAGCGGGCCTCGAACCTGCAACCTTCTGATTACGGGGCGAGCACTTAACTCCTGTGCCACCGTCGCCCATAATAGAAGTCGCACTGGACTATAAGTCGCCTTTTGGGGGAAATTTTATTATTTTTCTTAAAAAACCTGAGACCAAGCGTTTCACATTGCAAGACAAGTACCGGTAACAATAACAGAATAAACCATCAGGGCGCAGCTGCGAGCCACGGTCTCCAGCAGAGGATGGCCGTGCTTCAAACCCTCCCAGCGGGCAGGGAGAGCTCATTCCTGGGTCGGATCCAGCCCGCAGCAGCACAGTACACATAATTTGGTATATAAGTCACTTTGGTATATAAGACGCAGGACCAGCCAGACTATGAATAAAAGTGACTTATAGTCCGGAAAATACGGTAAATGTTAAATTAACTGCCAACCTCCAGGTGACAAAAGTGACATTTGATGTTTACTGTTAATAATCTCACCACTGAAGGCACATCTTTCTCCTGCTGTTTATTGACAAGCTCATCTGAGTATGAGGCAGATGGAACTGCAGCTCCTAAAATGAAAAAGACGAGGTAAAAAACTAAATTTAGACTTTAAAATCTTTTTTTAAACTATTAACATACGCTCTACCTTTACTCTGTGATGAGGGCATCCACCGAGCCTGCTTCTGGGATGTGGATGAGTCATAAGACGTGCTGGACTGATCAGGAAGTCTGTTTGCTGAACCCTGAACGAACAACGGGATGTGAAACGTTTCATAAGAGCTGTTAGCTGACAGAGGTGGTGGATTCTGGGATATCGAGTGCTTAACTCCATTGTTTGGCTGACGAGACGATGGCGGGGACATAGGTTTTCCTTGGCACGTTGCTACGCACTTCGATGTGTGAGGGACTTGCTGAGCAAAGGACATCAGGTGAGGAGCGCTAGGATTAGGGGTGCTATAAAAGAGGGAGTTTGATGGTATTGTGTCCAGGTGAGCAGCGTTCTGACTGTTCTCTACTGAAGACATGCAGCTCTGACCAGACGCCTGCTGCTGGGTGTAAAACGATGTCTGATCACACAGCGAATGCAGGCGGAGATGCTGAGAGCTGGTGAGCGGGTTGTTGACCAGTCCTTGTGATGAAGATGTGGGCCAGCCATTCTGGTCCATCCAGGTCTGACAGGCTGAGGGATTGTTATTTGCTGCAGAGTTGTCCATGACTTGTCCACTTAAATCTGTTTGTTCTTGTTTACATGTCCTAACAAAACAAAAGCCATTTTACACATTTTAATTTATCTCCCAATATTAATTTGACTTACCCTAACTTTTGAAAATACAAACATCTTGAGTTGCCATAAATGTTGTTATACTTCAGATTAGACAGCGGGTGTATCCGAATCCAGAGGCAGGATGCTTACGAGTACGGGTCCTCGCCGGTCTGGCAGACCGCTAAGATCTCGCCTTCACCTCTACGGTGGCCCGTAGGTCCCGTCACAGCCGTGGCGGCAGCTACATGCAAAGGAAAAATGCTAAAGCTAGCGAAAATGGAGCAGGAATATTAAGGAGCTAGAGCAGCTTCACGTCCAGCAGCAGCGTTTGTTCACAACCGTTTTCAGGTAAAGTAACTTTGTTTATTCTAGAAGCTTTCAGGACTTACATGTTAACTTTAGATGGTTTCATGTATGTTTTAAGCTACAGAATGAACTTGTTAAACATACACAACACATTACTACAGAGTATTATCATGTAGGTAATTAATACAAACCAAATGCATTATAAATGTTGAATGCAGCAGGATGTTTTCTAATGTAAATTGGACCTTAGAACTTCTTTTGCATCAAATGAGGGTAAAACGTTTTAAAAAACAGGCTTTTTAATAAAACAGCATTGAAGTGTTTTCAATGTGCATTTGTTTATTCAACTTAAGCTTAATAATGATTAGATCTGTCTTAATGTAAATTCTCTGTAGATTTCCCTGCTGCTTTTATTTAAACTGAACAGAACCAGTGTACTGCAGGTTCTATGTTTGTTTTACATTTTTCTATAAAAAAAACCTTTTTTAATCTATTACAGGTCAGCATGCACTGTGCTGCACATCTGCCTCTGTGCTGGTGAAGTTGTGGGTGTGGAGGATGAGTGTGAGGAAGATGTGTGTGGAGGAGGTCAGCGGTGCTCTGTCCTGCAGGAGGTACCAGCAGACCACCACTACTGTTAACAGACAAGTCATTCACAGAGACGTAACAGCCGTCGTCTGAGCCAGCCCAGCAGACCCTGTGGATGGACGATGGAGTGGACAGTGAGAGGAAGCGTCCCAAAGCTCTCTCTGCAGACCGTCCTGTATGATGTTCCTCTGGCCAGAAACGTCCAGCCACGGGTCTGCTCCAGCCCTCCATCCACGTCTGGATCCTCCTGCAGCAGATCCAGCTGCACTGTTAAAGACTTCCCGCTCACTCAGTTTAAATAAATGATCCAGGAAGAGTCACTCAGGTTAATCCTGCTTTAACCGTACAAAACTGGTCCATACTGGTTCTGATCTATTAATAAGTGTAACCTATTATAAATAATCTTGTCTACTTACCATCTTTTCATTTTCTGTTCATGTAACATGTTCAAAAACATCTGTAATAATAAAATTTGTGATAAAATCAATGACCAGAAAGAGTTATCAGTTAGTATTTGTTTTAATAAATGTGTTCAAATATCAAACAGCTAAATAACATTAACATGATGACAGTAGAAGGCCTCTCTCCCAGGATGACCACCAGGTAAAGCCTCTCCTGACCCTGGACACCTGCAGTCCTACAGAGAAAATCAGACCACAGGTGACAAAAAGGCAATAAACACATTTTTACATTTATCCACATGAGAAGATAAAACTTTTATTCTTCACACAAACTTTTTACTTCATTATAACGTGTCAGCTGTGTATATCACCGAATGTAAAACTACTTTTCACAGAAGAACTTCTGTGGTTGTGTGTAAACAGCTTCACTCTTCACCTCTAAGCTTAATAAAAACGCTTCTTTGCTCCGTTGTCCTTAAAACAAATGACAAGTTTAATTCGCCACACACACACACACACACATACACCCACCCACCCACACACACACGGGAATAACAGGGACCTGTGAAACAAACTCGTTCTGGCTGATTTCTGCCTAAAATGTAATTTAAAAAACAAATATACAAACGAAAAATGTCTATAAACTGAACCGCTTTAAGCTTTTTAGGTTTCTACGGCTAGTTTTTAACAAACTTACGTTTAAAACTTCGTAGCTCTCCCCATTTTCTCTGCCTGTTGAAAATCCACAGCCGGCGCGCAAAGCATGCTGGGATAGCCTTGTTCTGTGAGGATACAACAGACCCGTCCTCGAAATGTGGGCGGAGCGAGGACGCGAGAATGAGTATTCTTGGAATTCGGACAGTACTCGTCGCTGCTCTGTGACGTCATCGACCTCAAAATGCACTCTTACAAGCATCCCTCCCGTGGATTCGGACACACTCATTTAGTCTTGTAAAAGCAAGACACTTACTAAAAATAAGCACAACCTCTTTATGCTTTGCATTATTTTTCACTAATTTTATTCAATTGTTTTTCATCAGTTTGTACATTATATGTTCCTTTAAAGAGCAAGTCACCCCCTATTAAGAGTATTACTCCACTCCCACTTCCTGTTTGAAAAATGCAACAAATGCTGTTGCCTAGCAGACCGAGAGGGCGGAGCTGCTAACAAATTCACACACACACACACACAAACACACACACACACACACACACAGGCTCACAATGACATTGTGACATCATATGGTACCAGCTGACGTTCTAGGGTACCTCTTAGCCAATAGCGATGGCAGATTTAAATTCAAATGCAGTGCAGAGTTTTTACCTGACAACGGCACAACACTGACAGTTTTAGGCAGAAAAAAATGTAACCAAAATGCACTAAAGTGCAAAACTATTGACTACACGTGTCTGCAGCACAATTAAGACACACATTTATTTATAGTTTATCAGAAAAAAAGGTTGATTTAGGGGTGACTTGCTCTTTAAGCTCTTGAAGTTGCTTTTAACCAAAGTGACTATCATATTAAAGCCAACCTGCAGGTTTTTAGCTGAAACATTGATATTTTTAAACAGATTATTTTTTCTGATTATTTTGTTTTGCTTTACTGATACAAACAAGCATTTGTAAACAGATTCGTTTGGACGTGGTCAAGTACCCTGACTTCAGAGCAACTTTCTAAACATTCACCTTCAAACTTTCAGAATATCAACTCATGCGTATGGGTGCGTTTCAATAAATTCAATAAATTATAAATATAAGTTAAGGCACAGTTTTAAGTTTAATTACTTACATGGTAGAGGTGTACCTCCAACAAGCATTATGATGCACAAGTTTCATAATTAAGCTCTTGACTTTGTTAGAATAGTATAGATTTTATAAAAATCCCTCCTGGACGTTGCACGACACATTTAGCTTAGATATCTGTTGTATCAAGGTAAATGTTTACAATTTAAAATTGCATGGAAGCGCGGAATTACCACGTGTAAACAAACTGGGAAACAACCAAACAAATACCTAACTTTGTCCACAGTTGATTACATGTAGATTAATTTAAAGAAATGACCAAGACGTAGCCAATTCATTTCTCGTGTTTGGGTTTAAGGAATCGTCGCTCCGAATTGGGTCGAGTGATTTTGCTAGCTAGCTGCGCTAGCTTTAGCTGTTAGCTCGCTAAAGCGTGAAATATCTCAGGATTTTTTAACACAAAGATGCAAAAATATATAAAACAAGCATTAAGCACATTACATACGTTTATTTCTTAGACAATTGATAATAGAAAGAGAGCATACCCGTGATCAGCTCCTTGTTAGCTTCTCTGAGCTAACATGGCTTTTCCGGTTATTTTCACAATAAAAGCATCAACGCTACAAAAAGTACAATTTTACAAAGTAAGGTACATAAATGTAAAATAAAGTTTGAAACTGAAAATCATTGACTAAAACATTATTTGAGCAGTGTTAATAAAATCAAATTAGTAAAATATAGTACAGAAACTGGAATGAACATCCTTTCTAGAACTTGGAAAACAGTGCTACACAATGACAACACAAAAACCACGACGAAAAAAAAAACAGAAAAATAACGTAGGACAGTAGAATGAGTTAATTTGTCAAATGAACACAAAAATAAATCAGTAGCTGCTTTTAAGTCCAGAACTCTGCTGTAAAATTTCCTGTTTGTAATCTGTAATATTTTGCTGAATTAAATGATCCACTTTGTCGTTGCAGTGTTGTAATCCTGTTTCTGACATAGTCCTTTATGCGTTTCCAGGTACGGTTTCTCAATGCACCTGGCTCAGCCTCCAGACACACAACGTCCTTCTGAGGAACCTTCTGTCTTTTAATGATGTCATCAGATGTTCCTCTGCAGCACAAATCTCTTCTTCCTCCCATTTATTTTTAGCTTTCTAATGCAAGACTGCTGGAGTGAAAAATAAAGTCAATAGAAAATGTTGCTGCTCTGTCATTTATCAAATCTAAAATTCAAGTAAAGATTTGATTAATATTCTGGTTCTATAAAGTTACTTAGATTTGTGTGGAAGACTTACAATACATTTGGGTTTAAGGCTAATAAATTTTTTATTCTAAGATCAACATTCAATCCAAAAAAGGAAGATGACGCCCCCATGTGGGCAAACATATTCCCCATAGCGCCCTAGTCCTCAGGGCACGCTGACCTGCATGTTATCCATGTCTCTACGTCAGCACACCTGATTTACATTGCCTCCTCAGGGCGACATCAAGTGCTGCAGATGCCTGTTAATCACTCTTTCATTTAAGTCAGGTGTGTGGCTGTTAATGTTTAAAAGGGCAACATGGTAAACATACAGAACGGTGTCCCTTTAGGACCAGGGTTGGGAAACATTTCCATAAAGAGCCACACATTTAGGATTAGAAACACAACAAAAAAACTCAAACTTGTATATTATATTCATTCATTAAGCACAGGCTGATATATTTAAAATGCTTATTTCTATTATTTGATGATGATAATTGACTAATGAAAATCCCAAATTCAGTATCTCAAAATATTATAATATTGACAAAAGGTTCTATATGGTCCCTCTATGACCGGTGTCAGAGCTTGGTCCGCATTGCCGGCAGTAAGTCGGGCTCGTTCCCAGTGAGAGTTGGACTCCACCAAGTCACCGATTCTGTTCATAACCTTTATGGACAGGATTTCTAGGCGCAGCCAAGGTGTGGAGGGCATCCGTTTTGGTGGCCTGAGGATCAGGTCTCTGCTTTTTGCGGATGATGTGGTCCTGTTGGCTTCATCAGAACGTGATCTTCAGCTTTCGCTGGAGCGGTTCGCAGCCGAGTGTGAAGCAGCTGGGATGAGAATCAGCTCCTCTAAATCTGAGACCATGGTCTTGATTCGGAAAAGGGTTGAAAGCCTTCTCCGGGTCAGGGATGAGGTCCTGCCCCAAGTGGAGGAGTTTAAGTATCTCGGGGTCTTGTGCACGAGTGAGGGAAAACTGGAGCGTGAGATTGATAGGCGGATTGGTGCTGCATCTGCAGTGATGCGGGCGTTGTACCGGTCATCGTGGTGAAGAGAGAGCTGAGTCAGAAGGTGAAGCTCTCGATTTACCGGTCGATCCACGTTCCTACCCTCACCTGTGGTCATGAGCTTTGGGTAGTGACCGAAAGAACGAGATCGCGGATACAAGCGGCCGGAATGAGTTTTCTCCGAAGAGTGGCTGGGCCCTCCCTTAGAGACAGGGTGAGAAGCTCGGTCATCTGGGAGGGGCTCGGAGTAGACCCGCTGCTCCTCCACATCGAGAGGAGCCAGTTGAGGTGGCTCTGGCATCTGGTCAGGATGCCTCCTGGTGAGGTTTTCTGGGCACGTCCAACCGGGAGGAGACCTAAAGGTAGACCCAGGAAACGGTGGAGGGACTATGTCTCTCACCTGGCCAGGGAACGCCTTGGGATTCCCCCGGAGGAGCTGGCCCAAGTGCTGGGGAGAGGGAAGTCTGGGCCTCTCGCCTTAGCCTACTGCCCCCGCGACCCGACTCCGGGTAAGCGGATGAAAATGGATGGACACCTGCAAAAGCCTTTACATGATCTCTCGGTCTAGTTCTGTAAGCTACACAATTATGCAGAAGACTGCTGACTTCACACTTGTCCAAAAGGTGACCGTTGACACCTTGCACAAGAAGGGCAAGACACAAAGATCATTACTAAAGAGGCTGGCTGTTCACAGAGTTCTGTGTCCAAGCACATAAACTGAGAGGTGAAGGAAAAAAGATGTGGTGTAAAAGTGTACAAACAGGGATAACTGCACCCTGGAGAGGATTGTGAAACAAAACCCATTCAAAAATGTGGGGGAGATTCAGCTGGAGTCTGTGCTTTATAAACCGCCTCGCACAGACGTATTCACTTTGAAAAATGACTGGACACCTTCACAGTGCCAAAGCTACCAGTATCGGGTTTAGGGACCATGGTATCCGTTCTTGATTGACCAGTAAACTCGCCTGACTTGAACCCCATAGAAAATCTATGGGGTGTTGTGAAGAGGAAGATCAGACCCAACAATCCAGAAGAGCTGGAGGCCACTATCAGAGCAGTATGGGCTCTCATAACACCTGAGCAGTGCCACAGATTGATGGACTCCATGCCACGCCACATTGCTGCAGTAATCCAGGTCGATCATACTTTTCATCCTTTTCTATTGGCCAACATTTCTCAAAATGCTTTTTTGCAATACAGATTTTGGGATTTTCATTAGTTTTCAGTTATAATCATCAAAAAAATAGAAATAAACTTTAAAAATATCTAATTTTCCTTTGTGGTGTGAGATTGGCACAACCAGTTTCTGAGGGCTTCTTCTGTGTCTCCGTTGAGTGGTGCTTTCCTCTGCAGGGCAATCCTCCGAGCCAGTGGTGTCCTCGAACTATTAGATTCATTCTCATCCTCTGATTCACTAACTTTTTTCTACTTGCTGATCCTGAAATGCGTAAAAGAAAATTAATTTTAAATCCTGGTGTTTTTTCTTGCCTATTCAAACATCCTAACCCAATTCTGACTTGTTTATTCATCATGAAAGTGGACTGACAAGCATGTTGGATAACAAAAAACACCCACCACTGATTCAGCTGGTTCTTGGTCGAGGACGTTAGCTGGCTGCGTTAGCTTTAGCTAGCTAAAGCGTGAAATATCTCAAAAATGAAGAGCTTTTAACACAAAGATGCAAAAAATGTATAAAACAAGCTTCAAGAACTTTACATACATTTAATTTTTAGCCAATTGTTCACACAGAGAGAGCATACCCATGATCATCCTATTTGCTTCTCTAAGCTAACATGACACTTCTTATTTTCACAATAAAAGTATCAACTCTATAAAAAGTACAGCTCTACAAAGTAAGGTACATAAAAGTAAAAATTAAAGCTTGAAACTGAAAATCATTGATTAAAACCTTATTTGAGCAGTGTTAATAAAATAAAATCAGTAAAACATATCAAAGCTAAGATCTGCAAATCGCTGACCACAAATACTGGAATGAACTTCTCTTCCAGAACTGAGAACATATGTGCAACGCAGTGACAACACCTAAAGGAAAACAATGATGAACACGAACACAAATATAAAAACATATGAGGTCAGTAGAGAGAAACTTTGTCCTATGAACGCTAAAATAAATCAGCAGCTGCTGGTAAAGTCCAGAAATCTGCAGTAGTTTTTGCTGTTTGTAATGTGTAATATTTTGCTGAATTCGTTGAGGATCCACTTTGTCGTTGCAGTGTTGTAATCCTGTTTCTGACATAGTCCTTTATGCCTTTCCAGGAACGGTTTCTCAGAGCATCTGGCTCAGCCTCCAGACACAGAACACAGTCATCCTTCTGAGGAACCTTCTGCGTTCTAATGAAATGCATCAGATGTTCCTCTACAGCACGGATCTCTTCTTCATCCCATTTATGTTTAACTTTCTGATTCAAGCCTGCAGGAGTGAAAAATAAATAAGATCAATATAAAATGTTATCAAACAATAAAATACAACGGCCCACTCATTTATCAAATCCTGAATTCCGTTGGTTTGATAAGATAAGTCAAGTCAACTTTATTTATAAAGCACTTTACAACAGCATAAAAGCTGACCAAAGTGCTTAACAAGCCAAAAACAACAGAAGTTCCCTAAAAATTCTAAAAATAAGATAAAAAGTTCATCACAAAGTAAAAACATGCTAAAAACAAACATATCAAACTGACATAAAAGCTACTAAAAACAGATGCATTCTCAAACTGAATGAAAAGCAACTGAGAACAGATGAGTCTTTAAAAGGGATTTAAAACCCGACAGTGACGAAACCATCCTAATCTGGATTGGGAGAGCATTCCACAACCTTGGAGCTGCTACTGAGAAAGCTCCGTCACCCCTGAGCTTTCTCTTCGTTCTCGGCACCTCCAGGAGAAACTGGTCGGCTGACCTCAGTGACTGAGACGGGAAGTGAGCAACTAAAAGTTCACACAGATACTGCGGAGCAAGGCCGTGTACAGCTTTAAAAGCCAATAAAAGAACCTTGTACTGGACCCTAAAATCAACAGGCAGCCAGTGCAGCGAAGCTAAAATTGGGGTGATGTGCTCCCTCTTTCTCGAACCCGTCAATAGGCGTGCTGCTGCATTTTGCACCATTTGAAGACGGGAGAGGTGAGACTGAGGAAGACCAAGGTACAGTGCGTTGCAATAGTCAAGGCGTGATGTAACGAACGCGTGAATCACCGTCTCAAAGTCATGACTTGAGAGCAGACGCTTAACCTTGGTGATCCTCCTTAACTGATAAAAACTGGCTTTGGTGACGGCACTGATTTGCTTTTCCAGAAGCAGATCACTGTCAAGCCGGACTCCCAGACTGGTCGCTACAGGTTTCAAAAATAGGGCCAGTGGACCAAGGTCAGCAGAACATGGCCCACTGGACACACTAGGACTAAAAAACATGACCTCAGTCTTGTCATTATTAAAATGTAAAAAATTTGCAGACATCCAGGTTTTAACCTCATTGAGGCAGTTTAGAAGAGGATCTAAAGAATTGGGTAGGCCACGTTTAATGGGAATATAAACCTGGGTGTCGTCTGCATATAGATGAAAAGAACATCCATGTTTCGTAAAAATAGAACCCAGAGGTAGCAAATACAGAGAGAAAAACAACGGGCCCAGCACCGATCCTTGAGGAACCCCGCATACGAGAGGCGAGCGAGATGACATGAAGCCACGTAATGATACACAAAACGACCTCTCAGCCAAATAGGACTTAAACCAGTCCAAAGCAACTCCTTTAATCCCAACAGACTCTTGTAACCATGAAATCAGGAGACTGTGATCCACGGTGTCAAAGGCAGCAGACAAATCCAACTGTACCAGAACCACAAAATCACCAGTCAGTAGCTAAAAGACCCTGGGCAGTGCAGTCTCTGTGCTATGTGCCTTCTTAAAACCTGACTGGAATTTTTCACAAATATCAATTGCATGCAAAAACTCCGTCAATTGCAAATACACCACTTTTTCCAGAACCTTTGAAAGGAATGGAAGTTTTGAAATAGGCCTGTAATTAGACACAGTAGAGGGGTCAAGACTGGGCTTCTTAAGTTGTGGCTGAACAACAGCATGTTTCCAAGATTCTGGAACCACACCAGATGAACGGCTACAATTAACCATGGTAAGAAGAACCCAAGGACTGATGATTCTTATTCTAAAGTTACTTGGATTTGTGTGCAAGACTTCCACAAATTTGGGTTTAAGGCCAATCAATTTCCCTCTGGGATTAATAAAGTATTTTTCAATTGAATTGAATTGAATAAAGTTTTGTTCTAAGATCAACTACCTTGAAACAAAAAAAAAAAACTCTAGAAATTAGGAACGATGGCACCCTTATGTGGGGAAACATATTCCTACATGGGCGACGGTGGCACAGGAGTTAAGTGATTGCCCCATAATCAATTGGTTGCAGGTTCGAGCCCCGCTCAGTCTGTCGCTGTTGTCGTGTCCTTGGGCAAGACTTAACCCACCTTGCCTGCTGGTGGTGGTCGGAGGGACCGGTGGCGCCTGTGCTCGCCAAACTCGTCTCTGTCAGTGTGCCCCAGGGTAGCTGTGGCTACAATGTAGCTCATCCCCGCCAGGGTGTGAATGTGTGTGTGTGAATGACTGATTGTCTTGTAAAGTGCCTTGAGGGGTTCCAGGACTCTAGAAGGCGCTGTATCAAATACAAGTCATTTATCATAGCTCCCACAAAGAGCCACAGAATTAGGATTAATTGAGATGGAAGACAGCTGAAAGAATTGAGGCATTCAAAGCAGAACTTTTGAATTACAATTGGGATCAGGTGTATGTAGACGATACAAACCAAGCATATGATACATTTCTGTCAATATTCTTAGAGGTATATAATAAAAATTGCCCTATTATACAATATAAGACAAAGAAAAATTATAAAAGAAAGCTGTGGATGACAGAAGGTATGTTAAAGGCATGTAAAAAGAAAATGGTATTATATGAAAAATTCATCAAACATAGGACAAGTGAAAATGAAGACAATTACAAAAAATATAAGAATAAATTAACTACAGCTATTAGGATCAGAAAGAAGCAATATTATGATGAAATTTTAGAAAAAAACAGAAACGATACTCGTAGGACGTGGAAAATATTAAATAATATAATTCAAAAAAGGATGACAACTTTGGAATGGCCAAACTACTTTCTAAATAGTTCAAATCATAAAGTAAATGATCTACTAAATATAGTGGAAGAATTTAACAAATTTTTTGTAAGCGTCGGGCCCTCATTAGCAAATGAGATAGCAGTCCCACCTGATGCAGATACATTTAATAATCTGATAAATAGTAATATCAACTCAATGTTTCTACATGAGATAAGTGAGACTGACGTTGTGAATACAGTAAGAAAATTTAAAAACAAAAAATCCACAGATATAAATGAAATTGATATGGGAATTATAAAAGAAGTTATATTCTCTATTGTGAGACCATTGACATATATATATAACCTATCACTACGTAAAGGTCATTTTCCTAAAACTATGAAGATAACAAAAGTGATCCCAACATTTAAAACTGGAAATAAGCATTCTATGGAAAACTATAGGCCAATAGCAATTATTCCACAATTTTCAAAAATACTCGAGAAATTATTTGTGAACCAGCTAGACGTATATATTACTAAAAATAAATTATTAAGTGACAGTCAATATGGATTTAGAAAAAACAGAACCACTACCTATGCGATAATGCAGATGGTAGAAGAAATAGCCCAAGCAAGTGAAAGCGAAGAACTCTCTATTAGCATATTTGTTGATTTAAAGAAGGCTTTTGACACCATTGACCACAGGAGATTATTGAAAAAGATGGAAAATTATGGCCTACGAGGAATAGCGAAGTCCTGGATAGAGAGTTACTTACAAGACAGACAACAGTATGTACAAATTAAAGATATAAAATCTGGATTTAGAGAAATAAGTTGTGGAGTTCCACAAGGTTCAGTAATAGGTCCTATATTATTTACTTTATATATAAATGACATATGTAACGTGACAGATTTTTTCAAATTTATAATGTTTGCGCAGATGATACAAATTTAGTTTGTTCAGGTAAAGATAGAAAAGAACTTTTAAAGAAGGCCGAAAAAGAGTTAAATATCCTCAAATCTTGGTTTGATGTAAATAAACTATCACTGAATATAAAAAAGACTAAATTTATGATTTTTGGAAATAAGAAGGTAAAAAATGGGGACTTTAAATTAACAATTTCAGGTACTGAAATTGAAAGAGTGTCTGAAATAAAATTTCTTGGTGTTGTGATTGACTCTAACTTATCCTGGAAGCATCATTTAAATTACATAAAAGGAAAAATTGCCAAATCTTTGGGTCTATTATATAAGCTGAAGGACATACTAAACCATAAGGCCTTACGTCTAATATACTGTTCACTAATACGACCATACATGGCATATTGTATAGAAATATGGGGTTCAACTTTTAAAACATATATACATGAAATAAAAACTATACAAAAGAAATCTATTCGAGTTATGAACAAGAGCAATTATTATGCTCATACTGACCCGTTGTTTTTAAAATCACAGATTATGAAATTAGAAGATCTATATTATTATAAAATAATGCAATTTATGTTTAGAGTAAAATTAACAGCTCTGCCAAAAAATATACTAATGTTCTTTGCAAAGAGGGAAAGTAAATATGATTTCAGAGGTGTATGTATGTTTGTTCTACAAAAAGCCAAAAAGGGCATGAAAAGGAGATGTATCTCTGTAATGGGAGTAAAATTTTGGAATGAGGCTAAAATAGAATTAAAATTAGCAACTTCTCTTTCAGTTCTTAAAAAACTTATCAGTAAAAATATTTTTGAAGAGTATTAATTTGATGTTGATGGATGGATTTGTGTTTTACTTTTATTTGGGTTGTTGGTTCATTGCGGGAAATTAAAAAATTGTTTTGTAAGTAGGTTAGGCAATTATATAAGCTATTGCTTCTGCCTAAACCTATTCAGTCATGATATACCAAATAGACACCATATAAAAACAAGGCATATGTTAGTGAGAAATGGTATTTGTATCTAATTGTATGACATGTTAATGTACATTATCTTAAGATAACTGACTGAATAAATTGATAATTCATTCATTCATTAAGAACACAACAAAACAAAACATTAAAGGCCAGACATGGATCTCTAACACTTACCTCATAAAACGTGTACCGCAGACATTAAAATCCAACCACAAATATCACATCCCATCATAAAATGTCATAAAAATCACTTTTATATAAGGAGTATTGTAAAAGGAGTCTGTATCAGTCAATTAACAAAATCAAACATAACGACCTTTTGCCTCATCAGACTTGGGAGTAGCAGTCTGGTTTGTAGTTACTAGGTGCTTTTGTTGACCACAAAGATTTGCTGGTTGTGAACTTAATCCGACAGTTGAAGCCTCTCCATTTGCCTCGATGTGTAACACGTATCTTGCATTTACCAGCCCTCTGCCATGGTTCCTTCGGTTTCCCAAAGCTTCTTTTTTTTGAAGTATTTGAAGAGCCACTTTGTCTCTGCTGAGCTGTGATCCGATTTCTGACATAGTACTTCACACCTTTCCAGCAACGGTTCCCATGTGCACGCGGCTCAGCCTCGATGCACCAAATGCAGTCGTCTTTCTGAGGCAGCTTGTGCTCTTGAATGAAACTCGTCAGGTGTTTTTCTATAGCTACGACCTCTGCTTCGTCCCATTTAGGTTTGGCTTTTTGTGTGTGTGTGTGTGTGTGTGTGGGTAGGGGGAATAAATTAGGTCAATATGACATTATTTATGACTATATATGACAATATTTTTAAAATTCTAATTCAGTAGTCCATCTTTATTTTTCTAAAATCATGTTTAATGGTGATTGTTGCATTTTTCTGCCATATTGTAATATCTAATGACTAGTATTGACATAAATCAGGGTTCATTGAGGAGTTTTGCCACCAAGAAGCAAAACATAACAACAGGAAGTTGACAGATATTCACTTTTATCTTTTCATGATCAATTTTCATTTAGCAACGTTTTAAATGACAAACAATAAAGACGTTGACTTCTAATGATCAATAAAAAGTTACCTTTTGTTTTTGGTTTGGGTGACTTTGGAGTAGAAGCTTTGCTGTAAGTTGTTGCTCCATGTGGTCGTTGGGTTGGTTCAACATTTGAACTGGGGACCACATCATGACGCTCTCTAGCAGCTTCTAGTTTGTTTGAAGGCTGGGATCTCACTGAGTTAAAGAAAAGACCAGTTAGACCGATGCGGATGCTGAGGCGATCTGTCGTGGTGAAGAGGGAGCTGAGCCAGAAAGCCAGGCTCTCGATTTACCGGTCGATCTACGTCCCAATCCTCACCTATGGTCATGAGCTTTGGGTAATGACCGAAAGAACGAGATCGCGGATACAAGCGGCCGAAATGAGTTTCCTCCGTAGGGTGGCCGGGCTCAGCCTTAGAGATAGGGTGAGGAGCTCGGACATTTGGGAGGGACTCGGAGTAGAACCGCTGCTCCTCCAGATCGAAAAGAGCCAGTTGAGGTGGTTTGGGCATCTGGTCAGGATGCCTCCTGGACGCCTCCCTGGGGAGGTGTTTTGGGCATTTCCTGCCGGCAGGAGGCCCCCGGGTCGACCCAGGACACGTTGGAGAGGTTACATCTCCAATCTGGTCCGGGAACGCCTTGGGGTCCTGCCGGAGGAGGTGGCCGGGGAGGACCCGGACCCGGATAAGCGGAGGAAGACGACGACGATGGCCAGTTAGACCTTTTGGTGTCAGCCACTTGCACGTCTTACATTAGAAAATGGATTCATTGAGCAAATCTGATTTGACACTTGTCATCTTACCAGAACTCTTCTGTGGTCTCTTCAGTCTGTGCTTCTCCCTGGTTTTCAATGACTTCATGAAAATGCCGCTTTCTCTCTGCAGAGCTGTGATCCGGTTTCTGACGTAGTCCTTTAAACCTTTCCAGGAGCGGTTCCTCAGTGCACATGGCTCAGCTTCAAGGCACCGAATACAGTCACCTTTTTGGGGCAACTTGTGCTCTCGAATGAACCTGATCAGGTGTTTTTCTACAGCTTGGACCTCTGCTTCATCCCATTTAGGTTTGGATTTATACTGCAAAACTGTGAGTGAGGTAAAAAAAAGAGAAACTAGGTTGTTAGTGGTTCCCAAAGATTTCAGCTTCAGACCCACAAAATAGCAACTGCCAAGACATGCGACCCCAAATATCTCTGATTTGAAAATACATAAATCCTTAAAAAGCTAAATAGTTCAGGGCATGAAGAAAAACGCTTCAGCTTCTATCCATTCATGAGAATTTAGTTGTAACAGTCATGCTAAATCTACAATGGCTATGGACATTGATTTTGACTCTTTTCCTTTACATCTGATATATGGACAATTACGTTATAATGATTGTCAAAATAACCAAATATTTCTGTTTGTCTCTAAAAAACAAAGATATGTTTGAACGGGGATGTTAGGAAGGACATTAGACAAAATAAATAACTCAAATCTGGGCAAATAGGTCAAATAAAACAAAATCAAACTTAAAAATACAAACATAAAAAAACATCTGTTTCTATTATGATTTATTTAATACATCTTTAATCATTCTAGTGATTAAAATTCACCAGGACTTATGTTTAAAGGGAGAAGTCTCAGCCAAAAACAAGAATTATAAAGCTTGCTGATTATCAAGACAAAATACTACCTTTACCATATTTCCTTTCAAATTCAGCAATGATGCTGCTTGTCGTTGTTTCCTGTTGATGATTGAGATGTCCTGGTCCAAAGAGTGAACTGAAAACATCATTACGTTTGTGTGAATCAGGCTGCTGTCCCTCTGAAATCATCATAAACATTCATTTTGTAATTCAGAGTAATACACCAACCGGTTTGCAAGCTTTTCATTTAGGCAAGCCCTTGTTTCTATTCTACATTTACTTGACTAAAATGAGTGAATTGATGATCTTAAACTACATCAGACATGATATTATTACCAAGCTAACTGTGCTTAGAACCTTGGCATTTGATCACCATTGTTCTACACATAAAACAGTGAAACTAGAAGAGCCGTTACCATAACACTCCACTCCAGCTTCTCCACGCACTGCTTGGGTCTGACGTTTAGGGCCAAAGATCTGTCTGAACTCATCTTCCTTCAGGTAAATCCGTGGCAGCATCGTTGCAAAATGCTGCCGAAGTTTGAGTATCGTGAGAGCCGCTGGCTTTTCAGCTCCACATTCTTTAACAAATATCTGTGTGCAGACCGACCCTTTCAGGGTGGAGGAGGGAAAGGGAGATGGTATACCGAACACAAAGGGGTTGTCCTTAGGAACTCCACATTCTTCTCGAACGCTGATCAGAAGTTCGATTGCTGACTCAAACGAAGGCTTAAGTAAAACAGGGAGCATTCTTCCACAGTTTCCTTTGATGTCAACCCTGCTAAAGAATCCACACAGGGTTTTCTCCAGATCTGAGACGGATACGTCTATGTCACCAGGTACATCAGACTTTTTCCGAGACCTGAAAGCCGTTAGTGAAATAGAGGTGACCTCTCTAGCTTTCCTCTTGTTGAAAACAAGGATCTGAGCCAGTACCACCTTGGCCAGAGCAAGGTAGTTCTCACTACAAACGTTCTCTTTGAGTTTCTCCTCAGCATCACGATGAACCTTCTCCATGTGGTCATGAAGGCGTTTCACATCTTCAACAAACGGTGCATCAGCTTTGTTTTTCTTTTTGGTTTCCTTGAGATTTCTAAAAGCACGTGAAGAAATGTGTTTATTCCATTTCTTTTGATACAAAGATTGAAAGATTTTGCAAGCCTCCTCTGCTTTGGCATCACCATTTTTCACTGCAGTGCCCTCAACAACACTGCAGATCTTTTGTAGGTTGTAACCAACCTTAAAGGCCAGTGAGGGCGTGGTGAAGGTTTTCGTTTCGGGGTCATACCCTGCCACAGATTTCACGGCAGACACCACATGTTTAAAGTTAGAGGGCTGAAAGAAATCCTCCAGAGTCTGCATAGGAGTCGATTTTTGAGCCTCCAGCAGAAGTCTTGCTACCAGTCGAAGGTTTTGTCTTATGTACTGATGATTCTTTACATCGTCACTGTACTCACTAAACATCTGCTCTCCAAACTGCAAGAGAATCTGATCTTTTATGACAGCTTCGGTCACGTCGTCATATTGCATCTCACATAGGACGTTTTTAAAACCCTCACTCAGGTTTTCACAGTTTTTAGTCAGAATTGCGCACTGTGTAACCAGTGACCTTTTATCCTTTGTTTCGTTTGCTTTCTCTGGTTTTTCACTGCAAGTTTTCAGGTGCTTCCATACGTTTTTCTTAGCAAAAATTCCAAAGCAATAAACACAGTGAACGTAATCTGTTGCTTTTTGCAGCTTTGTGGGTCTTGCTCGTACAGCAAGCTGTCCTTTTCCTGTTTGTAAAACATACTTGTTGTGAGCAAAGTTTCCCTCCTTGGTTAGCTTTTGCCATACTTGTTTCCTTTCTTTTGAGTTCATCGGACGCTGGAACGCAACAGCAACTTCAGCTCTGTCACTGTGGACATTTGTAAGATGTCTTGACATTTTGAGCACAGGCTTTGAACAGAATAAACAGTAATTCCTTGTGTCAAAGATAAGCTTTCTTTTCCGGGTTGTCATTGGCACCACCACTCTTTCTGAGGGCTTCTTCTGCGTCTTCGTTTGAGTGGTGCTTTCCTCTGCAGGACAATCCTCTGAGTCAGTGGTGTCCTCACACATACAGTCCGAAACATTTCCATCACTTGTAGATCCATAATTAGACCCATTCTCATCCTCTGATTCACTATAAGTTTTTTCTACCTGCTGATCCTGAAATGTGTAAAGGAAAATACATTTAAAATCTAGCAATCATGGAGTAATTTCTTGCCTTTTTAAACATCCTAATTCAAATGTATCATACATTTCCTACTAGATAAGAAAACGGGTCAGGGGTGATGAAGGTGGCCTCAGCTCTGAGGAAGGCAACAGAGAGAGAGAGGATCTGGGGTGATGGGAGATGTTGATCTGGGGTTCTTACACAGAAAACTTCTAGTAAGTAGATGTAATTTCAGCATTCTTGTGCTTTTTAACATGTCGTTTAATTATTTTTAAATGATTGCTGTAGCGTCGCACTTTATAGCGTTAATGACTGCATATTTAATTATGACCAATAAGACGTGATGATTCCATATAAATATTAAATATCAACCTGTTGAACTTTGAATGTTTAACCAGAAGAGTTTGGGATTCTTTGCTTGTTCAGGGACCATAAACACACTTCGCTGTAATTCAGACAGTCAAGTATATAGTTAAATGGAATTTTATTCTTTTCTAAACTAATGATAATACATGACAAGCTTGAATAATGAGATGTGATGGAGTGTATATGCGGTTATGGAATGTGATGTGTAGGTGGTGTGGTGTAAAGTAGATGTGTATCAGAACCTTCGTATCTGAAAGAGATAGGGAATTCTGGGTGTAAAAGAATTTGTGGCCTGCTATAAACTACAGAGTTGTTTATTAATAAAACAACATCAGGCGCAATCTATTGTGTCTACAAACACTGATCAGAGACCCCCGGTCAGATCCGGAATGTCAGGAAGTCGGGGGACCTCAAGGCACCGAAGTTCGTAGATTGATCGCGGTGCGACCAGTCCGGTTGTGACCAGAGATGTCTCCTGGTCACAACAGGCATGAAGGTTTGTTGCGCCTAAAACAGATGTTCTCTTACAGGGTAACTGCAGGTTTAAGGGAGCCAAATTTAAGACTTTTTAAGACCTTTTTTAAGGCCACTTAGACCAAATTTAAGCTATTTTAATGATTAAATGTAAGCTTTATTTTCCAGCTATTGCCTGGAACCGGTGCCAACCACGTCGCAAACATGGGATTAGCCATCCAGTTACCATTAAACTTGCACTTCCCCATGGCGCAAGCTCCCACTAGTTTAACTAGCTAATGCGCTCATCTAAAAATAGCCCCCTTTCACCACCAACTGAGTGTGTACGGTTCCGCTTATGCCAATATCATACACAAAAAATGCTGAAGACTAACTAGAAATTCATGAAAATTTCATAGAAATAAAATAATCTTGTTTATTGGGTCTTTGAAAATTTAAGACCTTTGGAAACTGTATTTAAGGATTATTTGTCATTTTTAAGGATTTTTAAGGCCTTAAATTTGGAAAAGCTAATTTAAGACTTTTTAAGGACCCGCGGATACCCTGTCTTAAGGAGCCGTATGGCTGTGTCAGCTGGCAGTGTGCCAACAGGTTTTACTGTGTGTCAAAGAGAGAGATGTTTCAAGGAGGCTGATTCCGAATTGGCCACTTCGGAGTTCCGCTCGAAACTGAATAAATCGGGAAGTCACTCTAGTTTCAATAATCCACTTGTTATGATTCTGTCGAATAAGAATTTGACATGTTTGTACAGTAGGCTTTACCAAACATCCCTGAGAAAACCACACCTTCCAGATACAAGGTGTTCTAATTCTGTGGATAAAGAATCTTTAAACTTTATGTGAGGTGACCTTAACTTACATCTAATGAACATTGTGTATGAGTGTAGATAATGATTAACTTGTTAAATCAAACAGTACTGATCATAAGATGTAAATGGATCATTGTAAGGACAATAATCATTTCTACTTCACTGAATTAGGCACAGATTATTCAAACATTTCGTATAACATCTGGTTCATTCAACCATATGATTATTTATGATTATTTAACTTATGAGCGACCTGACTCTGGATAAGCGGATGAAAATGGATGGATGGATGGAATAAAGAATGATATCTTCCAACAAACATTTGGGATGTTTATTTTATATCTGCTGATAAGAGTATTACTAGCAGGAAGCTGTGGGCTGAATTAGAATTGAACCTCCTAAGGTCTCGTGTCCACATGCAGCTGTGGACACATTTGTTGGTTCCCTTCGGTCAATGAAAAAAAAAAACACAATGGTCACACAGAAATAACTTGAATTTGACAAAAGCAATAAAAAATCAAAATTCTATGAAACTTACCAGTGAAAATCAGACATTGGTTTTCAACCATGCTTGACCAAAATAATAAAAAATAATAAAATAAATAACTCATGAAACAGGCCTGGACAAAATGAAGGTACCCCTAGGACTGAAAATAAAGTGACCAAAGGGACATGCTAATTCAAGATGTTTCCACTAATTAGCATCACAGGTGTCTACAATCTTGTAATCAGTCAGTGGGCCTATATACAGGGCTCCAGGTAGTCACAGTGTTGTTTGGTGACATGGTATGTACCACACTCAACATGGACCAGAGGAAGCAAAAGAAAGTTGTCTCAGGGAATGAGAAAGAAAATTATAGACAAACACGTTACAGGAAAAGGCTATCAGACAGCGATACTCAATAGGCAGCCCGCCAAAGTGGACTACATGGGAGAAGACTAAAGAGGACACCATTGTTGAAGACGAATCAGAAAGCCAGACTGGAACGTGCCAAACTACATGTTGACAAGCTACAAAGCTTCTGGGAGAATGTCCTGTGGACGCACGAGACAAAAATTGAACTTTATGCCAAGGCACATCAGCTCTATGTTCACAAATAGAATAATGAAGCATATCAAGAAAAGAACGCTGTCCCTACTGTTAAACATGGAGGGGGCTCTGTTATGTTCTGGGGCTGCTTTGCTTCATCTGGCACAGGGGGTCTTGAATCGTTGCGGGGTACAATAAAATCTCAAGGCTATCAAGGAATTCTGGAGAGACATGTAGTGGCCAGTGTCAGAAAGCTTGGTCTCAGTTGCAGGTCATGGGTCTTGCAACAGGACAATGACCTAAAACACAGCTAAAAACACCCAAGAATGGCTAAGAGGAAAACACTGGACTATTCTAAAGTGGCCTTCTTTGAGTCCTGACCTCAATCCTATTTCAGCATCTTTGAAAGTAGCTGAAACATGTCGTCTGGAAAACATACCTACAAACTCGGGAGGGTGTGAAAAGGGTGACAACTACTTGTGTCCAGGCATTTTCACCACTGGGGTCTGCAATTTAGTCTTGATTTAACTATTGTTCCCATCTGTTTTTTTATTCTGTTTTTATTTTTTATTGATGCTATTGCCTGTTTATTGTTGTGCTCAGCACCTTGGGCTTCTCCTAAGGTTTGTGAAAGGTGCTCTCTAAATGAATACATGAAATTAATGAATGAGACGTTTGACACAGCTAAAATGACGGTGGTGGGAACCTCCCAATTGGCATCAAACCTACCCCACAGAAAGCAATGAGCGGGGTACGTTCATCTTCTTTATATGTTGATGGTGGTGTTGGGAAAACCAAAGAAAGTCCTCTAGAATATTTCCTCCAGTGGTTTATAGTGAAAATGGTTAATCTGTGAAACCCTCCCTGCATAATTTATGTGATGATGATGAAATAGAGCACCAATGCTGCAAAATGGAGGCTCAAGGTCATATGCTGGTGAGAGAGTTCTACATGTGTACAGATGATGTTAAGACTGAACTTTTTAGAGCCTATTGTACTCCTCTCTACACAGACAGTTTATGGTGCCATTTAAGAAGGGAAAATGAGAAAGCTAATGGTGGCATTTAATGAAAGTTCTTTACAACTGCCACGGTTTACCAGCGCGAATCATATGTTTGCCATTCAACGTGTCTCTGGATTATAAGCTGTAAGAAATTTCATGAACAAACTTATGTGTAGGCTGAACATTTCTACCAATGAGTTAGTTAAGGTTTTAGTTTCACCAAAGCTTAGTGACACTAGATATACATCTTTTTATTGGAAGCACTGGATTTCATTTTATATGCATTTTAAATTTTCACTGCACATAACATTTATTTATTTGATTTTATCTTTCATGTATTTTGTGATAATTTTACTTTATTTTTCTTTTATGTATTTTATACTGGACCAGTGTGTCTGATAATAAAAGTTCTTAATATAAACCCATCACCCCCTCTCATTGGACATCCACAAAAATAATGTAGATAACCCATTTTGGATTAAAAACTGAGTTTCATTGAAAGATGAGGGATTTTCATGTCTTAATTCATAAAAATATACTAGTTTGCATTCTTATTTGTGTATTATTCATGCAAATGCACCGATAGGCATGACAAATAACTAAAAATACCCACCGCTGATTCTGCTGGTGACACTGGCTCTTCTTGGTTGTCAGACAGGTTGTCCTGTTGGTCACAGGACAAAGATGGTGAACTATTTGCTGAAATATGAGACTGAAATAAAAAAACTAAACAATACTCAAAAGTTATGGGAAATTTGTGGATCTAAGTCTTGAGTATCATGAGCCTAAGTCCTAAAAAAAATGAAAAATGCAGCCATATTTAAGAATGTTGTTTTTTAAAAACACCTTTTTGTGCACCACTGTTACCTATGTATTACTACACCATAAATGACTTACCTGAACAGTTTTGTGTGACAGCTGCTCATTATTGCATTTACTCTGAGGCAGCGATTCCAGCTACATGGGGTGAGAATAAAATGAACAGGCAGAAGATGTGAAAAATTACACTTAATATAAAAATGTTATTAGAGGAAAAAAACATGGAACACTTACTAGTACATTTAGGCCCTCTAGTTGTTGTAGCAGCTGTGCACGCTGTTTTAAAATTGTTAAACGATGTTTTTCAATATCAGCCTGAAATCAAACAAAACTGAAGGCATTACTCTGAAATACCCAGGTTAACATTTTCAGGGATGCTTCAAAGTTTGCTAATTTCACCTGAAATTTTCACATCATGTAAATTTTAAAATAGCTGCCAACATTTGCGGTTTACTGTTAATCTTCAATCAATCAAATCAATCAAAGCTTTATTTATAAAGCGCCTTCCGCAACCCTGTCAGGAAGCCTAAAGCGCTGAACATGGTACAGTTGTATGTAATTATATTGAATAAATCAACAATAAAAGAAATTCAAATTACAAAATACAAAATGGAAATTACAAGATAGATGAAACATTCTGGTAAAATACAAATGTGTGAAACACAATTGGATTGAGTGTACCAATGAAAACTGTGGAATGGATTCAACATAGTAGAGGGCCATAATCTTACCACTGAAGACACATCTTTCTTCTGCTGTTTATCGACATGGACATCTGAATATGAGGCAGATTGAACTGAAGCTCCTAAAACGAAAGACAAGGTAAAAAAAATGAATTTAGACTTTATATATTTTGTGTAAACTATAAACATACACTAGGGCTGGGCGATATGGTCTAAAATCAATATCATAGAGAAGTAGACTAATGGGCCATTCCCATCTGTACCGGGTCGGCCCGGGCCGGGTAGCGTAGGTTGTTTACATATCTGGGTGGCCTGGTATTTTTCCGGACCAACCAAGGCTCATTCTCAGCCCTCTTCTCGAGGGGGTCTGCTTCAGGCCGACCAGGGCCAACACACCCACTGCTGACAGCAAATCCACACCTTCCATTAGAGCAAGCCTCTGATTGGTGGGTAGAATCAGCCCACATGGGCTTAAGGCAAGGATGCGTGGAATCAACCGGGCCAGGCTGGGGCCGACTGGGGCTACCCGGCCCGGGCCGACCCGGTACAGATGGGAATGGCCCATAACTACAGGTATGCACAGAAACAAAAGTTGTCCACTAGATGGGGCTGTCACATTTTTACGTGACTCAAGGTGGTACAGCTTCTTAAAGGGACATGTTGCCAACCTACACACAGCTTTTCAATTTTTTTACTATCAAGTTTATTGACATGGGAAAAATTACCTTGATAAGAGTCAGAAATTTCGATAACGATACATTTTCAATTTATTGCCCAGCCCTAACATACGCCGTACCTTTACGAAGAGATGAAGGAATCCACCGAGGCTGCTTCTGGGATGTAGATGACTCATAGCTGTTAGAAGCTTCAACATCAGCACCACCAACTCCAAACGTAGCCTGGGACATATTTCCACTCTGCTCACCTGAGGACATGTTGAAGGATTGGTCAGGGAGTCTGTTTGGCAAACCCTGACTGAGCAACTGGGTGTGAAATGTTTCCAAAAAGTTGTTGGGGGACAGAGGTGCTGGATTCTGGGACGTAAAAGGCTGAATTCCGTGGTTTGGTTGAGGAAGCGATGGCGGGGGTATAGTTTTTCCTTGACGTGTTGCTACCTGCATCGATGATGTGTGAGGGGCTTGCTGAGCAAAGGACATCTGGTGTGAAGCACCAGGATCATCCGTGCTATGCAAAATTGAGCTGGATGACAATGTGTTCAGGTGAGAAGTCTTAAACAGAACAGCGTTCTGATTGCTGTCTACTGAAGACATGTTAAGGCTGCTCAGACAGCTCTGACCAGAAGCCTGCGGGTGGCTGTAAAACGGTGTCTGATCACACAACGAACGCTGGCTGAGATGCTGAGAGCTGGAGTATGGGTTGATGATGACTCGTTCTGATGAAGTTGTGGGCCAGCCATTCTGGTCTATCCAGGTCTGACGCGGTAAATGGCTTTTTTTAGCTGCGGAGTTGTCCATCACGTTCCATAACAGTGCAGTTAGCTGCGTTTGTTCCTTCGTACAAGAGACCTAGCAGAACAACATAGTTTATATCTCACTTTCACTTTATTATATTGAGTTTTGCCTCCAACTGTGAGCATACAACTTTAAATAACCAGTAAACACACATGCGCGCGTGCACACACATCTACAACACGAATTTAGAGCTATAGCTATTCAAACTTTCTAGGGTTTTTTCTGCTGTGAAGCAGTTTAAATAACTCAGACGGACACATGGGACAATTATGGAGTAAAACACGAAAAATAATTCTGCAGAAAGTGAAAAACACAACTTAATTACTCTAGGACAAACAACATCCTGTCCTCCTTTGCTAGCAAGCTAGTTAGGTCGCTACTTACGTCGCTAGCTAGTTAGCGAGGAGTAGCTAGCGCATTAATCGTGTATTATCTATGGAGATTATATCAATGTAGTCACTATTACGTATAAATTAAAAAGGTGTTTAAGAGAACTACGTTATTTTTAAGTAAACGGTGCCATAAAAAAACACCCACAGATATCTCAGACCGTTGTTTATCTCACATTTCAAAGTTACCGCCGCTGATAACGCACAACTTCCGCCTATCCTTTCAAAGTAAAAGCATTGTTGGTCTTCTGCTTATTCAATTTCTCTTAATTTGCTGACCAACTGTAGGTCTGAGTTTTATGATCCTCCTCTGCATGAGTTTTGTAGATTCTCAGTGACCAGAGTCGAGCCGTAAACTGGATCCAGTTTGCTGTGAATGAAGGCCGGACTCTTCCAGTGTTGTTGGATTTCCTGATATTTGGTGCAATGAGTCAGAAACAGGAATGTGGGACAGCTTCATCCCTCAAGAGACAAGTAACACTGAACTCTGATGTGGAGGAGAACATTTGTTTAAATCAAACTGGTTTTAATACCTCAGAATGATACTGATATTAAAATAAATAAATACATAAAGCTAAAAGAAGAACAAAACCTAGATCTCAGTTTTTTTTTTGTTTTTTAGTTGATTCAACAATGAAAATTAGCTATACATCTATGTTAGCTGTTAAAAACCACAAAAGATGTTGAAAGCTCAAAATTTAATGTTTCAGTTAATCTCAAACAAAACAAAAATCTGTTTTACAAATTTACAAACCAAAATGAGCAAAATCAATACAAAAGTTAAAAATAAAAGTTTAAAGACATTCATCTCCATTTTATAATTTGGATTTACCAATTATAAGATTATTAATGAATGTAATTTAAAGAAAATAAACCAGAAACAGCATTTAATCCAGACTGATGTCATGTTTTTGTTCTTACATTTAAATTCCACAAAACCAGTTTTTGCAATAAAGTTTCTATGCAAACACTAAAACTTACCCTGAATGAAAAAAAAATTTAGTTTCCAAATTTAACAAAAAAAGTTCACCTTAAAAAATCTTTGCAGCAAAAATATCACCAAAAGTTTTTCCCATCACTTTGAGTGTGTGATTTTAAAACAAATGTAACGTTTCAGTAATTTAAAATATCAATAAATGACTAAACCAGCCAGCATCATGTCAGTTTTTACAGATTTTGATCTCAGAGGTTTTAGCATCTCCAGCCTTTCCAACACCAAAGTAAGGGAAAACTTTCTCAGTGAAAGTTTCTTTGTGAGTGCAGATGTGAGACATGTCTTCAGAGTCGTAGAAGGACACCTCCCCTTCATAGTCCAGATGGACTCTGATCTTCTGGAGACTCTTCTTCTCTGAGACAGTCTGACCAGAACAACTGATGTATTTTCCATCACCATGCCATAAACACCAGTAGTCATTTTCTGGAGATTCATCAACTTCTGCCTCCTTCTCAGCTGACTCTTTAACTAAACCAATAATCCAGACAGGAAGATCTCCCACCTCCACCTCCCAGCTGTGTTTCCCTGAGCTGAAGCCCTCAGAACCACGAACATCATAATACTTAGTGTTTCTCTCTGGATTATCAGGAAGCTGCTGCTCTGTGTCTCCACGTCTCACACGGGTCAGATCATCAGACAGGTACAACCGGCCCTCTGCAGTGTTTGGGTCCAGGACGACAGGACTGAAGTGGACCTTGTCCTTCATCTTCTCCCAGACTCTGAAGGACAGGTTGCCCAGGTGTTTGGCCACATCTATCAGAGCTCCTGAGACCAGCTGTGGATCTGACACTGAGCTCTGGGTTCTGGTTCTGGTCTGAGTGTCTTTATAGCTGCTGAGGAACGCCACGTTGTCTTTCTGCAGCTGGTCTTCAACAGCAGAGATGCTGTCTGACAGAGAGGAGATCTGCTCCTGAATCCTCTTCATCTCTCTGCTGATAGTCTTCTCCTTCTGCTCCTCTTCCTCCCTCAGAGCTGCCAGTCTGGACTCCTCTTCCTCTTTCAGGAACTGGTGGAGCTTGTTGAACTCTGCTCTGATCTGTCTCTCTGTGGACACCAGCTGCTTCTTGGAGTGTTGAATCACATCATCGTATGTTTCCTCCACTTGTTTGTATTTGTTCCTCTTGTCCTGCAGAGACTTTAAGTCCGATTCCAGCTGCTCCTTCAGCTCACTGACTGCTTGTTCTAAAGGAACCACTTTGTGACTCTGGTGGAGAGAAAAGTCACAGACAGGACACACAGCTCTCTGCTCGTCTTCACAGAACAGTTTAGGCTCTTCCTGATGTCTGCTGCACACCACCTGCAACGTCTTCTCTCCTTTTTCTGTCTCAGATGATGCAGATTTCTGCCTCCCAGCAAAAGAGTCAGCAAGTTGCTTCAGTCCAAAATTCAATATCAGGGCGTCCTTAGAAGATCTTCTTTTACAAACAGGACAGTTTCTGTTGTTAGCTTGTTTCCAGAACGTCTGCAGGCAGCTTGAACAGAAGCTGTGGTTGCAGCTCAGAGACACAGGATCTCTGAAAGTCTCTGAACAAACGAAGCAGCTCAGATAATCTCGAACCAGAGTTTTTTCAGCCATTTTCAAAATAAATCTTCCAAAAACAAAATGCAGGATTTAGTCTCTTCACCTCCTCCTAAAATCCTCTCACATTTCTGTTCTCCAGCAGCGATCCCTCACTCGGTAATGGCGTCTCAGTTCTGTTCAACAACGTTTGACTTTCCTTCTCTTTCATTACAGCATCGTGTCACCAGTCAGACCAGTTTTAACGCCGAACATTGTTGCCTGTTTTACAATCAGATTTTCCTGTTAAGCTGAAAATTGCATGAATGTTTTGCAGTAAAATATTTTATTTTATTGTAATAAAAAATAAATGAGATCATAATATGTGAATGTGACAAATGTTAAAATGAATGCATAAATATCCTAAAACTGCCCAAATCCTTCAGCGGAGATTATTTATGATGTGGCTTTTCTTTAAAACCCGTAATGAACCATTAAATCCTTCTTTAAACAGCTTGATTACCATCATACAATAACATCAATCATTATATTAAGTTGATAACTAGAAAGGTGATTTTATTGTTGAGAACAAGTCTGATTACCTCGTGACGATAAACAAACTGTGGTTGTAACACATTCGTTCAAACTTCATAAATGTTGTCTCAGCGAACTGGTTTGACAACATTTATCTTTTATGAGCTGTAAGGAAATGTTCTGCAGAAAAGTCAGAACGAATGTATCTGTTGACTTACTGACTTCATGTTGAGATGATCTAAAGCTTCACAATAAAAATCAGCTTTAAAGGGAGACTGCTCCGTTTCTGCTGCTTTTAGAACCCTCAAGTGTCCGTTTAGCAGAACTGAAAGCAAAAAGTGTCTCCTCGCTGTGCGTTCGTCTTTAACACCTTAATCTAACAGCTGAAATGTCTCCCAGCCTTCATTAGTGTCTACAGGTTGGATTCGTTCTTTGTCTTATTAGTTTTTAATTGATTTTATAACTTGACTATTTTATGCTTTTGTTGTTTTATTTTGTACAGCACTTTGGTTGGCTGTAATGCCATGTTGAAAGCGCTTTTACAAAGAAAATGGTGCGATAGATTCCAGCTCTGGCAAGAGACTGCTGCTGTTGTCCTTGGGCAAGACACTTAACTCATTTTACCTGCTGGTGGCGTCTGCGTTCGACAGCCTCGTTTCTGTCAGTGCACCCCCCACCAGTGTGTGTGTGTGTGTGTGTGTGTTTCTTTTCCTTTCTCTTTCACCTCTGTCTCCGTGTCTGGTCGGAATTACAAAGCATTCAACAACAATAACAATAAAGTTTTAAGTATCAGGCGTGACATTAAAAGCAAACGCTTTGATGCTCCACCTGAGAATAAATCTGTAAGGCTTGTCACCAGCATTCAGACATCAATTCTGCTTGCTTCACAGCCAGACAGGACATGGTAAAAAAAAAAAAAAAAACACATTTATAATGAGCAAAGTGATAATACTGATCATTTAACATTTTAAAATAAAGGAAAGGAAGTTTAAGACTTTGTTATGTTATGACTAGCTTTTCCATGAGAACACATCTTCTGGCACTGCAGGTGTTCAGATGTTATGGTTTCCAGCAGACTCTTGCAGACTTCATGTCTGCAAAGGTCTCACTCTGTGGGTGAAAGTTCTCAGCGACCCAGCTCTTGACCCAGCCGGGCCAAGTATAACCTTTGGCACAGAAAACCCATATTTCCTCACGTTACATATATATTTATATATATGCATGTATATATAGATATATACATATCAGCAAATCCTTTTAGAACATCTCTGCTTCAAAGTGATCAACAATATGTCTGAAAACACAAAGTTAAACAAAGTTACATAAAATCTAACTGAACATGGATTCAGAAAAATAAGCAAGTCTTCAAAAGTTTGATATTCAAGTAAATAAAACAACCATTTCTTTTCTTACAAACCATCGCAGCAGTTTTCTGTCCGACTCTCATTAAAACCTTCCTGCTAGTTCTGACTGACATGAATCTGACCTGAAACACTCTGACCCAAGAGACTGATCTGATGTAAAGCTGACGTTTAACCAGGACGAGAACTGGTCCAGGATCAGAGTCAGGGCTGGACATTGATCCTCTGAACAAATCCAACTTCCTGCAGTCTGACTTTTATGGTTCTCCTACGTAACACAAAAACATATAAATGATTTATTAAAAGTTTAATCGGTCAGACAGAAAATCTCAACCCGGAGTTTTTATTTCTGATTTCAGAAAAAAAAATTATATATAAAATGAAATAAAATCTTTTTCAAAAGTAAAACAGATTCAATGATTAAAAGTCATAAAATGTTTTTGACAAGAAAAAGGATGATTAAAGCAGCGCTAAATAATAAAAAATGGTTAGAACTAAAAGTTTGTTTTGTTTTTACAAACAAACACCTAAGTGATTAGGCTGAGTGTGTCACACCTAAAGTGGTCCTGGCAGAAACAATTCTCTGTTCTCATCTCTGTTAGATAGAAAAAATGAATTACTGAAGAAATTATTTTCTATTTATTGTTAGTTTGTTGTTATGCTGTTTTAGAGGAGTGACTATTTCTGCAACACAGACTGATGGTTGGAGAATTATTTTAAAGTCATTGTTAAGAGATTCATTTTCATAACTGTACAAAACCATCAAGACATTTAAATGATTTATTTTAATAAAATCAAACTAAAACAAATTGTCAAAGAAAAACAAAAAAGTACCAAAATGTAACTGTTCATAAAAAAAAATCTAATTCCAACAAAGAAAATCAGAAGGTTTCATCATTTTGTTCAGATGTGATGAAAGTTTCTAAACTAAAAACTCTTAAACGATGAAAAGTTTATTATGAGATCATATAAAGTCGATCATCCAGCTGATGAACAACAACAAACATCATCTGACTAAAGTCAAGATGAACCAGAAGATTAAAACATTTTGTTACTTTCTACATCTGTTCTAATCAAACGTAAAAAGCAGAAACTGAAAACTCTGAGTTTTAATTTATTTATTCAGAACAAAAAAGTTTAAATTTAGTTTAACAGATTTTGATCTGACATTTTATAACTTTCTATGTTTCTTCTAATCAAACAAAAAGAACAGAGTCGGAAAGTTCTGAGAGTAAATTTAATTATTCGGAACAAGG